ATGATGTTTATCTTAGTAATGGTCATGGTGAAGAACATGAAGATGTTGATGACGACGACGATAATCAGGATTGTGATGCTGGTGATGGTGATTGTGGTGATGATAGTTGATAATGCTGACGGTGGTGTTGATGCTGATGTTATGAATGCTCAGGGTACTGGGAATGGACGACCGTGCATGGCGTCGGGAATGGCGTCCCCCCCCTGTCCACGGCTCCCGAGCAGCGAACCCCCCCCCGGCTCCCGAGCACTGAATGGCGTCGGGAATGGCGTCCTCCCCCCCCTTGCAGAGCGAAGCTTGAGCGAGCTCAAGTCCACGCTCTCAGAAATTCACACGCCAGATCGGCGGATATCTTGAGCCATCTTGGACTCTCCGAGGCGCTCTTGGAGCCATCTTGGGCCATCTTGGACGCTCCAACGTTTCGCGGAACCCCCCGTCCAGATTCAGGGGAGGGGGTAGGAGGAGGGAAATCCCCCTCCCCGAAGGGACAGATGGACGACAAAACACCCCAGATCACCTACGCCCTAAAGGGCTGGTGGGATTCTTGGAGGCCTCGCGCGGCGCGCAATAGTTGTACCATCTAGTCCACACGTCCGCCCCCGTCAGATATAGGACGACGTTGGCGCGTCGACGTTCCGACGCATGTCCGACGCACATCCGACGTCAGTCCGACGTAAAATTCGACGGGGATCCGGTGCAGTTTGGGTCTCAAGTTGCCGCGCGAAGCCTCCCGGATGTTCCTCATGCTTGGATCGGCGCGGGGGGCGCGGAGGCTGGTAAGGGGATAGGAGACTCGTCAGTTTAAGCAAAGGCGGATCATAGCTGGCCCAACCTAGCTCGTGAGTGGGTTACAGGTGATCCAAGAGACTCAGGGTGGTTAGAGAACTCCGCTGAGTGGGCGGAGCCCAGTTGGCCCCGATCGTTACCCCCCTACGCCCCTGATAGTACTTGCGACCCACTTGCAAACCAGGTTCGGACAGATACCCAGCTGCCTGCGGTAAACACCGCCACCGTGCCTGTGCAACAGACCAGCAGGCAGTACACTGAGTGGAGGAACAACGCAATTCCGTCGAACAGTCTGCATTTGGGGACGGGTCGTGTTCCCAACCTCGTCTTCGTCCGCGCGGTAGGGAGGAGGAGGAGGAGGAGGAGGAGGAGGAGGAGGAGGAGGAGATTTGGTCAGCCGATTTCCCAACTCGCTCCCCGCGAGCTGGGGCCACCGCGCGCGCCGAGCGCGCGCGGGTCGCCCCGCGGGGACCGCGGCCCTGGAGATCGTCCCTGTTCCGAGCGCGTCTCGCAGAGGCGAGCGGAGCAGCGATTCTGGGGCCGCGGTTTTGAGGTCCGCCCCATCTCCACGCTGCGCGTCAGGGTGGAGCGCGCGGAGCCGACACTCGGGGGTCGCGACCCTGAGGTCCATCCCGTCTCCACGCGCGTGGCTGAGGCGCGCGGAGCCGACAGTTTGGGATCGCGACCATGAGGTTCACCCCCTCTCCACGCGCGACTGGCTGAGGCGCGTGGAGCCGTGTGTTTGGAGCCGCGACCCTGAGGTCCGCTCCTGCTCCGGTTGCGTCTGGCGGAGGCGAGTGGAGCCGTTTTGCGTCGGGCGTTTCTGTGTCTTCCTCGGTCATGAAGGCCCTCCGCTGGTCACCGTGCGGTTCGCTGCCAGCAAAGCCATGTGGCGACTCCGACCGCTGCCCGTCGGGTGGCGTTGTCCCCTGCTCGGCTTCTGTCTTGGCGCGTGCGGTAGCGGCCGAGCTGGAGAGCTGTGGCTCCAGGCCTCGCATTCGACTTGTCGCATCCAGCCTCGCAGTTTGTACGCCAAGCTGCTGCACCTCGGGTTGCCAAGACGTTCCTCTCTTATTTTCGCCGACCTGTTGCCTGTGGAGGTGGTGCCACACAGCCGACAGAGCCAGCTGCGCTCGGACTTCAGGAAGACGAGCGGGTGCGAAGCGGTCGGCCTGGAAGTTGCCAATCCACACGTGCGTCGAGAACCCCTTCGCTTCCGCCTCCTCCCAGAACAGGTGGCTGTTGATGTGGTGAATGTACACCTGGTCGGCGACGCCTCTCCTCTGGGGATCCCGCCCGATGAGCTGCCACAGGTCGCCATTGGTGCCCACTTCGCCTCTCTTCTCGAACCGCTTGTTGTACCACCCCTCGTACAGTCGGGGCCCTGAGGAAGGAACCCTTTTCGTTGGGGAGGGGCTCCGCGTTCCTTGAGTGTTTCGCAGCTTGCCTCAGGCGTTCCTGATGTTTTCGATCGGAAATCGAAGTTTAACTTATGGAAAAAAGGGGCCTCGTTCCTTATTTAGGCTCCTTAGGTCAAGGCCCCGACTGTAGACCAGCTGGCTGTCCGCCCAGCAGTGCAGCGCGCCAGCCCTGCTGCGGAGGCAGCTCGGCAGCGCCCAGAGCTCGGCCTGGTTGCGGGTCTGGCGCCGGCTTGGGAGGGGCCCGATGTGGCCCGCGGCGAGCCCGCTGTCGTCGCCGTTCCCTCGCAGTCGTACCCAGGCCCAGCCGCGGCGACGGTGTCTCCACGCAGCGACCCGCCGATGTTGCTCGTCGTCTCCTCCGTCGTGCACTCGAGTGGGACTGACCAAGCTCCGTCGTCGTTGCACGCTGAGCCCCGCAGCCAGAGCGCTGGGACCGCCCAGTGTTCCCGCTCGGCCTGGCGGTGGAGTCGCTCGGTGGCGTCGAAAGTGTCGTTGGGCTCCCGCTTGTCGCAGTGCTCCCAGGTGCGGCGGCACGCAGTCTCGATGCGTCCGCGCTCGCACCTCGTCCGGCACCTCTCCGAGGCAGGCCTTCCTGCGAGCGCGGGCCCACGTGCCAGCACACGTGTGCAGCACGCGAGGCCACCAGCAGCGCGCCGCACTCCTGGCTGGTCACCTCGCCGCAGCAGCCCCTCCAGATGACGACGAAGGTCAAAGGGGCCTGCCGCACTGTGCTCCAGTCCGCCCCCAGTGTAGCCCGCTGCCGCCGCCTCCCAGGTGTAGAGCGAGACGTCCTGCATCAGCGCGTCGAGCATGTCTGTGGGGTCGCTCTGCTCTCCATCCAGAGGGGTTTCCCATTGGTGCTTCTCTTTCTCTAGCCATCTGTCTGGTCCTCGCGAGTCCCAGCGCACGTCGCACTCGGTCGTGCCCATAGATCTGGGCGGTGGCCCCAGCAGCTGAACCAGTGGCTGAACTGACCCCCCAGGATTTCGATGACTGGGCCCGCGCCTTTCACGGCCAGGCAAGTGGTCAGGCAGCGGCCTGGCCAGGGCCACCTCAGGGCTCGGACGCAGCGTCGCCGCGCCTGCTGCGGGGTGGTCGGCGCCATGCCGTGGAAGGCGGTGCCGTACTTCATGGACGCCGTGGCACTCTGCTGAACCACCCCGGCTCGTCGTCGAAGTCGCAGTCGCCGAAGTGTCTTGCAAGCAGCCCCGAAACGTTGTCGGACTCCTGCTCCAGCGCGCCCCGTGGGTCGGTCTCGTCCTAGCGCCCCGCGCGGCGCGAGGGGCTCCCAGGTCGCGCCTCTCAGGGGCCACCGGGAGCTTCGCGCCGCGCTTCGGCAGATGCTTCCCGATGTCCTTCGCGCCCTCGAATCGCGTGGCCAGGAGCGTCGTCTCGTCCGCCAGCTTGAGGCCCTGCTGTCCGAGGCACGGGAACAGCGCGTGGGTGGTCTCCACCGCGGCGTCGATGACTTGGAACCTGCTGCCTACGATCCTGATGCCGACGTCGTCGAACCAGGCTCACGGGATAGGTCGTGGGATGTTGCTCGCGCCCGCCAGGCGTGCCACGGCCGCGCACACCACTGCGTTCGCGACGGTGTTCGAGTGCTTGTCCGCGCGGAGCGGCCAGGAGAAGGACCGTGGCTTCGCGGCACCCGAACTGCAGAGTGCCGGAGCGCCATGAAGCAGAGCGCCCGCGCTGGGAACGGCATCGCCGGAGCGGCAGGCACCGTTTTGTCGATCCTCAGGTTGCAGTTGAACTTTTCGCATGGGCCTCCTCAGCGATTCTCGTAAACAGCTGTTGCCAGCGATCGCCGCGCCCCACTCTCACTCGTGCTCTTTGGCCCATCTGCACACCCAGCCACGGCGGAGTAACTCCCAGCAACGAACTTGTTGAGGTAGGAGTGCCAGTGCACAATCTCCCTTGACAGGTTGCAGCACGATCATGCCCACCTATAGGAGTAGTTACCGCGACCAGGTCGAGAAGCGCATGTCGCCCAAAAGCGGGCAACCGTCTGATGCCGCTTGTGGAGATTACGTCCGCTCCCTTGCCCTTGTCGGGCTCGCCTTTCAAGCACCTGTCGATGTCCGCCAGGGTCCAGGGGTCGTGGTTGTCCTCCTCTTGTGCAAGACGTCGCTGCGAGCCCACATGGCTTTGAAGGCTCTGGCCTTCTCGTCGACCACATCCACGGGGCCACGGAGCGTCTCGCCGTCGATGCTGACCTCTTGATCGCGTCTCTGAGGTGGCTTCGTAATCCTGTGCAGCACCCCGACTTGCTTCTCCGCCTGGGTGAGCCATGCACTGTGCTACCTGCTACGGTCATGTAGATCGCGTGGAAGCGCGAAGCACTTCACCTGCTCGGCTTGGATGGCCACGCTCTGCAGAGCGTCCAGGGGCATGTCCTCCAGCATCTCGAGCCTATCTTAGCATCTCCAGTGGCATGTCCTCCAGAGTTGTCGGTGTAGTTTAGCTGTGTTTGAGGCGCTTCGCCTGGCTGGAAGAAGACCTTCTCGAGCGGGTCGACGCCCCGTTCTGGCAAGGTCAGCTTGTTGCTGTAGTCCACGTCCTCGTTCCGTGGACGCTCTAACGGCGATGTAGGTTTCGGCGTTATGGGAACGCGCGGCTCGTGCTTTCCTGCAGCTCGCTGTGTCGTGCTCGTTCGGTACATCCGCAGATCGGCAATGTAGGAAAGAGTGGTTTATGATTTCCTACAGTTCGGTCTCCAACATCACCGTTAAGCAATATCGCCGTTGGCGTAGCCTTAGTCGCTCCCGAAGCTTGGCCAGCGCGGCGAGCACCGTGTCGGCTCGGCTCCACCAACCTGCTCTGCGCGACGCACATCGTGCAGCCGCTCGTCTCGAATGCGCCTGGGAGCTCTCGACCACAGAACGCGGAGGGGATCTGCCGTGCCGACGCGGAACGCCACGCAGCAGAACCAGGCGATCGCAAACATGGATAAAGGGGGCATGGATTAGCGACGGGTCCCGTTTCCATGGGAAATCGCGTATTTCCGCCGCCGAACGGCACCGGCCGCATTGTGGGAAGAGCACTTCCCCCGACTCATGGATTTGGCGACCGCGCGCCAAATCCATGGATCGCTAATCCATGTCTGCGCGCCCCCGATAGAAGCGTTCCTGGGCGCCGATGAAGCGATAGTAACGATCGCCCCAGCCTCTCTGCGCCATCTGGGTCGGTCTGGTACGCCGCGCTCTTTCCGATGTACTCGGGAGGAGGAGAAGGAGAAGGAGGAGGAGGCGGAGGAGGAGGAGGAGGAGAGATCGCCCCAGACTCTCTGCGCCATCTGGGTCGGTCTGGTACGTCGCGCTCTTCCCGATATACTCGGAAGTTGCGCGGCCGTCGCCGGCGATGCGCATGTGCTCCCGCAACTTCCCAAGAGCGCGCTGTCCATCGTCAAGGCCGACCCACACTGCTCGTGCGACGGTTCTCCCGATCATCGATCGTTTAGATGCCCTTTGAGCTTCCATATCCCGAGGAAGAAAAAACATATGAACAGAAACTGTTGGCCCTCCGCGCGGAGTTCTTGGATCCAGCGCGGATCCCAGAGATCCGCGCGGAGCGCCAAAAGTTTACGTCTATGTGGTGTTTTCTTCTCCAGATCTCGTAATAAAAGGGAGGGGGTCTGGACCCTCCAAGACGAGCCATTTCAGACCTCCCCCGTGGGAGGTCTGAAATGGCTCTGGGAACGAAGAGATGGACATCGTCGGAGATTGGCAGTCCGGCCCACATCTCGTGCAGAGGAGGAGGAGGAGGAGGAAGAAGAAGAGGAAGAAGAAGAAGAGGCAGAAGAGGATGAAGAAGAAGAAGAGGAAGAAGAAGAAGAAGAGGAAGAAGAAGAAGAAGAAGAGGAAGAGGAAGAGGAAGAAGAAGAAGAAGAAGAGGAGGAGGAGGAGGAGGAGGAGGAGGGCATGCCAACCGAGTTTCTCGAGACCGTCGACGACGACGTCCTGACCGGTGTTCCCGAGGGCCCGGCCGCTCTGCCACGACGTTCCCCAGCGCATCGAGCCCGTCTCCAATGCACCGGGTGGGTCTGGCTGTTGAGCTGGCGGTTCGGCTCGTTGGTCTCGTCGCACATCGCGTGCTTTCTTCTTATCATCATTAGTCTTGGCATTAGTAGTCTTATGAGTATGATTAGTCGCATTATTATGTTTATTGTTGTTAGTATTGTCATTAATGATATTATTACCATAATTATTATTATTATCATTATTATTATTATTATTCGCTGACTCGCTGTCGGGGGCGCGCTGCTTCGGCCGCTTCGGGCGGGGGAAGGCCTTGGGCATTTGGAGTCGTCGGCACTCGTTCACCTCTGCAGCCGCCTTGACTGCAATCACCAATACCACATGTGACCTCCACGACACAACATGCACAGCCAGAATGTCGCGTACAAGTCGTTGTCCGCCTTCGCTGGCCAGCGCGTAGTCGACGTCGGACGGCGCGGCGTCGCCCACGAAGCAAGCGCGGCTGCCTGGCGGGAGCGCGACCACGCCTGTCGCGCCCAGTGCATTGGGCCAGCCAGCCTCCTCGAGCTCGTCGGCGGAGCGGCGGACGTATTGTAGCCGCCGCCGACCGACCATGGCATGGGGGTGGAGTGGGGGAGGGTTGCGAGCGAGGTCAATTTCCAGGCGGGGATCCCGCCCTCGAGGGGGACCTTCGGGTCCAAGTAGAGGGAGATGATGAGCAACGAGTTGGCCTGCAGGTGGAGGGCGGTCGGCGCCCAGTCGCACGTGTCGACATCGCATGGCCTTCGACGAGTAGTCGCATTCGGAAGCCATGCCCCCCATTGCGCGATGACGGAACGAGGTCGCTTTCAGGTGGCCTTTGGTGGTCATCGTTGTGCCGCCGTGGGCCCCCGTCTCGCTGCGCTCGCCGCAAGCCCCTTCCCGCCGATGCGAAGACTCCTGCAAGGCTTGCGTTTCGCAGATCGTGCTCCACACCGCCGAGGTCGGCCCATGCCAAGTGAGTCTCCTGCAGCGCGTAGGCGTCGCAGGGTTGACGAAGTCCATCACGTCGCAGTCAACTCGGAGCCGTAGGCCCGCAGGTGGTGATGTTTTCGAAAAAAGATAGTGCGGTCCAGTGGATCGGCGTCGCCAACGGGTCGCCTGCCCCTCCGCCGTGAGCCCCCTTGCCTTGCAGGGCTGCCAGCGCCCTTGGACGCCGCAGCCCGCCTGCGCTGCTCCAGGAACGCGTCAGCGTCGGGCTGGGCTGCGGCTCCTCTTGCACCGTCGTTGCCTCCTGAGCCAGTTTCTTCCGAAGTCGTCGCCCCTGTGGTCGATGGCGGTGGTGCGGCAGGCTGGGACGGCGCCTCCGTCGGGCCCCTCTACTCTGCCCTCTCCGCCTTCCGCATCTTGAACGTTCTCCCTTGCTTGCTTGAGGTGGTCCTTGAGCTGCCCCTTGAACGGTCTCGCCGCGTGGTGGAGCTGCTCCAGGACGCGTCGCATGGCGTTGTCGACCGCCTTGCGGTCCTGGCAGATGTGTAGATGAGGCAAGATGTCGTTGCGAAGCACGGTCTTACACCCCAAACAAAAAACAGAAAGGGCAGACGAGCTCGATGGAATTCCGCCTTGTCCGATTATACCGGCACAGGTGGCCGCAGGCTGAGCGTGCAAGTGCGAGCGATTGGAAGGTCGCCGAAATTTCTTTGAGCAGCGGCAACTGCACGCAGAAGGCTACGAGGATCGCGGAGACGAGGGCGTAAATGTAGGACGCCTTGTGGTCCTCCTCGCCCATGCCTGCGTTGTACTCGAATTGCGCCTCGACCTCTGCAATCTTCACCTCAGAGGGGCGCAAAGCTCCGCGTCCGCGTCCAGCAGCTGGTCGAAGATGAATGTCTGCTAAGATTGCCCATCTTTCTGGATCTGCTCGATCTCCTTCTTATCGCGCAGGACCTCGCCCGCGCGCGCAGAGGATCTGTCGCGCCTTGTCTGCTTTGAGCTCCGCGGCCAGCTTCGCTACGAACGCCCACATGTACTTTTTGTGTGCCTCCTCTCGCGTCTCTGCTGCCTCTGCGAGCCGCATGGCGCGTGACTTGACCTGCGCCACCGTCGACGCAGCGCCTCCTTGAGCGACGTCACCGCGCCCTTGAGCTGCTTCGCGATGCCGTCATCGCTGGCCAGCTGCAGCGCACCTAGCATGGCAGTCATGGAATTCAGCGCCACGGCGATCTGTTCGATGCACTGCACGTAGCCAGTGTTGTCGTCGGTGTCTATGTTCTTGCCGTTGCCGCCCTTGTCATAACTGTCGGATGGGCTGGCTTCGAGCTTCGGCTCCGCTTTGGGCTTCGCAACTCGACGTCCGCATGAGCACCAGTTGTCTCGGGACTCGAGCTGGCTGTGCTACAACCATGTTGGCAATGCTTGCACGTCGTCCACTGCGCGGACTGCGGCGCAGTGCTGCCGCGGTGGATGCCCGGCAACCTCCCGGAGGACCGTTGCCCCAGCTTTCTGCAGGCCTGATTGCGCCTCCGCTTGTTGCGCCTGTGCCAGGCTGACGAGCGCGAGCGCTCTTGGCGCCCCGTCTCGGGGTTTGGGGGGCGATCGCTTCGCGGGCCGCCGCCCCCGCCGCGCGGGGCAATATGCCTGCGGGGGACAGCGCTGCGAGCCACCTATGAAGAGGAGGGAGGAGGAGGAGGAGGAGGAGGAGGAGGAGGAGGAGGAGGAGGAGGAGAAGGAGAAGGAGGAGGAGGCGGAAGAGGAGGAGGAGGAGGAGGAGAAGAAGGCATTGAGAATGAGGAGGGCAAGGCTTCTTGGAGCATTTCTGGGGGTTCCTGCCCCCCCCCTGAAGTTGTATGGGGCCTGTTGAGGTCTTGGGCAGTCTTCGGGGACGTCTGGCCCGTCCGACGCCAATGGAACCCGCCGTGGGGGCCTCGCTGGGCCGCGTTGCTGTTTCCTTGGGACGGTTCTCGACCGTCTTGAGGTCCTCCTGGGAGCCCTTTGGGCGATCTCTGGCTCCTCGGGGGCCTCTTGTGTTGTCGTGGAGCTACGTCGGAGACACTGCTGTTCCTGAGGTTTCTCGGGCCGTCTGGGGCGGTCGGAAGCCCGAACATGTGTGTACTTCAAAATCGCTCAAACGCCAAGTGGAAAACGTGGTTGTGGCGTCATCGGGCTCTCCAGCAGTACTTCAGATTTCGTAATAAAAGGGAGGGGGTCTCAACCCTCCAAGACAAGCCATTTCGGCCCCCCACCGTGGGAGAACCCTCCAAAACATCGTCCCCAGACCCCCCCAGGCCCTCCAAGATAGCCTGGAAGAGACCCCCCCCGAAATGAGCCCCCCCTCCCTTTATTACGAAATCTGGAGTATCTTTTGGAGACCTCGAAGCCCGTCTTGACGGCTTCTTGATCTGTCTTGGTGTTGCTTTGGGAGCTTGTTGAGTTGCCTTGGGCCATCTTGGCGTCATAGCGGCTGCTTTGAAGCCGTCCTGGAGGCCACGAGGCTCCCTAGAGTGCGTTAAGATAGATCGGGAAGTTCCCAAGAAAGCCCAAACGGTCTCCAAGAGGATTGATGTGCTTGAGGTGTTCGAAGGATTCGGAGGTTCTGGCATGATTGGGTTCCTACCGCCCAGGACAGTCCAAGAGTTCTCCTTGGGCGGTCGTGTTGCTCTCTTGAAGCGTTTCAAGGCCGCCTTGAGACCATCGTGGGGAACTCTTGGAAGCCTCTCGGGCTGTCTTGGAGCTATCTTGGAGGCCTCGTGGAAGCCTCTTGGGCCGGCTTGGTTGGTCGCTGACCCGAAGAGGCGAGAACCTCAGATTAATCGGACGTTCCAGAAAGACCGTTTGGAGCTCTCTCAGGCCGTCATAGGGGGCCTCTTGGGCCGTCTTGAGGCCCTCTTGGGCCATCTTGAGCCGTCTTGAGGCTCTCTCTTGAGAAACGCTTGAGTTGTCTTGGGCCATTTTGACCGTTGTGTTGCTGCCTCGGTTGTCTTGGAAGCCGTCTTGGAGGCCATCTTGGCCGGCTCGAGGCCGAAGAGCCCGCCAGAAAGCAAGTTCAGAAGGGGCGTTTGTTGTTCCCCATATCCTAAGATGGGGTTCTTGTTATTACTTGGACGTCTCCTACTCCTTCTCCTCCCTCCTCCTTCCTCCTCCCCTCCTCCTCTTTCCTCATACTCAGACCTACTCATACTCAGACTTACTCATGCTCAGACTTACTCATACTCAGACCTACTCATACTCAGACTTACTCACACTCAGACAGATTCATACACAGACTTACTCATACACAGACTTACTCACACCCAGACGTACTCATACACAGACTTACTCATACCCAGACTTACACATACACAGTATTACTCATGCTCAGACTTACTCATACCCAGACGTACACATAAACAGACTTTCTCACGCTTGGAGAGCAGATTGTGAGGATGTCTCAGGCGGGGCGCTGGTTTCAGCACCCCTAAGGGGAGCCGCCAGGGGTGTTTGCACGGGCTCGTTCGCGGCCATTTTGTGGGGATGTCTCAGGCGGTTTGCTTGTTTCTGGGCCCAACATCCTTCGCTTTCGGAGCAGATTTGGAGGATGTCTCGAGCGAGGCGCTCATTTCAGCACCCCTAAGGGGAGCCGCCAGGGGTGTTTGCACGGGCTCGTTCGCGGCCATTTTGTGGGGATGTCTCAGGCGGTTTGCTTGTTTCTGGGCCCAACATCCTTCGCTTTCGGAGCAGATTTGGAGGATGTCTCGAGCAGGCGCTCATTTCAGCACCTCTAGGGGGAGCCGCCAGGGGTGTTTGCACGGGCTCGTTCGCGGCCATTTTGTGGGGATGTCTCAGGCGGTCGGCGGATTTCTGGGCCCAACATCCTTCGCTTTTGGAGCAGAGTTGGAGGATGTCTCGAGCGAGGCGCTCATTTCAGCACCCCTAAGGGGAGCCGCCAGGGGTGTTTGCACGGGCTCGTTCGCGGCCATTTTGTGGGGATGTCTCAGGCGGTTTGCTTGTTTCTGGGCCCAACATCCTTCGCTTTCGGAGCAGATTTGGAGGATGTCTCGAGCGAGGCGCTCATTTCAGCACACCTAAGGGGAGCCGCCAGGGGTGTTTGCACGGGCTCGTTCGCGGCCATTGTGTGGGGATGTCTCATGCGGTTTGCTTGTTTCTGGGCCCAACATCCTTCGTTTTCGGAGCAGATTTGGAGGATATCTCGAGCGAGACGCTCATTTTCACCCCCCAGGTGGGCCAGATTTTGAGGATGTCTCGATCGGTTTGCCTGTTTTGGTGGCCAGGCTCGTGGGCGCAGATTCTTCCCAGGATGCCACAGGAGGCCCCAACAGGCTCCAGGAGGCCCCAGGAGACCACATGAGGTCCCAGGAGGCATCAGGAGGCCACAGAAAGACTCAAGAGGCCACAGGATGTTCCAAGAGGCTCCAGGACGCCCCAGGAAGCTACAGAAGGCTTCGGGAAACCACAGGAGGCCCCAGGAGGCAACAGGAAGCGCCAGGAGGCCTCGGAAGGCAACAGGAGGCCCCGAGAGGCCCCAGGAGCAGGAGGCCTCAGAAGGCAACAGGAGTGGCTCCAATCCCATGTGTGTTACGTATGCTCCTATCGATTGGGCCTCACCTGGAGCACGATTATTTGATGTTCTACGTATGTTTCTATAGATGGTCCTTCTCCTGTGTACACAATCCTAAATGTGTTACTCATGTTCCTATGTATTGGGCCTCTCCTGGGGCACGAGTCCTTGGTGTTTTACGCGTGTTCCTATAGATTGCCCTTCTCCTATGGCTCTAATCCGCACTGTTTTATGCACGTCTGTTGCTATAGATTGCGCCTCTCCTGGGGCACGAAACCTTCCTAGGAGGTCCCAGGAGGTCCCAAGAGGCTCCTGGAGACCCCAGGAAGCCCCAGTAGGTTTCAGGAGGCCCCAGGAGGCCCCAGGCTCATGCACAGAGACGCGCTCGTACTACTGAGGCTCATTCACACTCCAATTCATTCGCAGTTAGATTGATGTCCAGACCGTCACAACTGAAGCCCGTTAATATTCGAAAGCTCTTGCGCCTAGACATTCACGGCGGACAGGTCCATGCGAGTAGATGCACATATGGGGAGCTCCACGCAGTGAATAATTGTTAAGCGTGCGTCGAGGGAGGGCCCTTGAAACTTACAGCAAAACCTCTCAGACAACAGACGAGCATTCTAACACGCCCACTCCGTGCAGGCACGGTGGCGGACAACCATCCGTCGCTGGAGCCCGAACCAAATTTCTGGATTGGTTTCGGAGGTTGCCGCGGCCATCGTGGCGGCCACAACTCGGGGCAAATATTGGGTCAAGGAGTGGCATGCCCCTTCCCAGCCACCCCCCCGCTCTGCGATGCAGCCGTGTCTCATATTTGGCAATCGGGCGACAGGGAGTTCTCAAAGTATGCCCACATGAGCAAGCATGTTTTGGGGGGGGGGGGTCAGGTGTCGATTAACACGCAGCCACACATTGGTATAGCCTCCGCCCCCTCAGTCACCCCAGGCGCCGACCCAAGTAAGGCTCGAGCGCTGCCGCGAGGACTGCGCGGACGCGGAGCCGCGCTGCCCCCAGGGCCACCCGCTGCGGGCGGCCCGGGCGCCCAACGACACCTACGTCTGCGACAGGTGCAAGGCCCGCCCGTGCTCGCGCGGGCTCGCCGCCTCCTCCCACCTCCCCTTCTCGTCCTGGATCCTCCGCTCAACTCCTCCCCCCCCGCCTCCTCGTTGCTAGCCGCCTCCTCCCACCTCCCCTTCTCGTCCTGGATCCTCCGCTCAACTCCCCCTCCTCCTCCTCGTTTTTCGGGCCTGCTCCTTCTCGGAGAGGAGACGCGGCACAGAGAGAGAGACCGCTGCAGCTCTGCGCGGAAGTCTTGGATCGGCTCTGGGGGCCCCCCTCCCCCAGCGCGCGACCGCGCCCAGCGACACCTGCGTCTGCGGCAGGTGCAGGGCCCGCCCGTGCTCGGGCGGGCGCGGCGCCTCCCCCCTCCCTGGAGCCAGCGTGGGGCCCTCCTCCTCCTCCTCCTCCTCCTCCTCCTTCTCCTCCTCCTCCCTCCTCTCCTCTTCCTCCTCCTCCCTCCTCCTCCTCCTCCTCCTCCTCCCTCCTCCTCCTCCTCCTCCTCCTCCTCCTCCTCCTCCTCCTCCTCCCCGAGGTGGCCCAGCACTGGTCGTGCGCCCCGTGCGGCCTCGGCCACCTTCGCCTGGCGGCTGCCTCCAGCGAGGGCAGCTGCTCATCCCAGCGAAGGACGACCCCTTTCACATGCGACGGCTTCTGTGCGAACATCTTCGAGTCAGGTGGTGGAGCGTTTCTCCGAAGGGCTTAGGCGACCCGTCATCCTCCTCCTCCTCCTCCTCCCCTCCTCCTCTCCTCCTCCTCCTCGTCATCATCATGATCCTCCTCCTCTCCTCCTCCTCCTCCTCCTCCTCCTCCTCCTCCTCCTCCTCCTCCTCCTGGCTCCTCTACAATTACTCAATATGAATACTACTCTCCCTCTTCCCCTGATGGCGTCCTGGGAGTAGCCGACCCCCCCCCCCCGCGTATTGTTTTTTACACACAGGATTCCCGGGAGTTGGGTTTTCGCCTGCGTTTTTTTTCAAAATGCTGCTCTCGCTGAGGCGCCGGCCTCATTTCTGCTCCCGAATCGTTCCGAATCGTGCTCCCGCTGCAGCGTGGGCCTCATTTTCGGATCGGTGTTTTGCCTCCGTCGTTCAGGATGGCGTTCTCGCCCCAGCGCGGGCCTCTTTCTCGCGCGCCCATCCGCCCGCCACCACCGCGCCGCACCACGCCCCGCCCCGCCGCACGCACACCCACCGCCACTTCCACCCACCAACGCACGCACGCACGCACGCGCACCACCACCGCGCACCGCCACCACCACCGCACTACCCCACCCACCACCACCACGCTACACCGCGTCACACCACATCACACGCGCGCACACACAGACACACACGCACGCACGCACGCACGCACGCACGCACGCACGCACGCACGCACGCACGCACGCACGCACGCACGCACGCACGCACGCACGCACGCACGCACGCACACACACACACACACACACACACACACACACACACACACACACACACACACACACGCACACACACAGACACACACACACACCACCACCGCCACCACCACCACCGCCATCACGCACGTACGCACCTGGCCCACCACCAAACCACCAAGACGCCACACCACGTCACACCACAGCACACGCGCACACACGCACACACACACACACATACACACCACCACCACAACAACCACAACCACGCACACACACGCACGCACGCACGCGCACCACCACCCACTACGCACACGCGCGCGGAGCCACAGGTCCGCTACGACACGCGTCCGCGGATAGAGAAAATCATCGCCATGGTAAGGGATGGGAGGGAGGGGTAGGATGTCAGATGTTGACGCGAGCCTACCTAACTTGTCTCCTCCCCCTCTCCCCTCTCCTATCCTCCCCCGGGGTTCACAGTCCCACTGCGGCCCACTCCCCCGCGGTGGCTTGGGCCGGAAGCCCCCGCGGCGGCGGCCAGTGCTCCGGAGAGCGCGGAGCGCCCACGCCGCCGCCGTGAGGGGATCGCGGAGCGCAGTGGTTGATGTTACAGTTGCGCGCCGTTGTGCAAGAGGCACCCCCAAGACCTCAGGCGAGGGGGGTTCGATTTTGACCAAAGCCGACCTCCATCGCCCAGGGGCAGCCTGGGGTGAGTGAGGCTTCAATCGTCACCGCGACGCGTGCCTCGCAACTGCGGAGATCAGACCTGCAACATCCTGCAACATTCTCCTCCTCCTCCTCCTCCTCCTACTCCTCCTCTTCCTCCTCCATCTCCTCCATCTCCTCCCCCTCTTTCACGTCCTCCTCCTCCTCCTCCTCCTCCTCCTCCTCCTCCTCCTCCTCCTCCTCCCCCTCCTCCTCGGGTCGCCTACGGCCCCGGGGGAAACCGTGCACTTCGAGCCAGGTGGGCGACGCAAAGAAACGGGGTCTGCGCCAGCACTGGCGCGAAAGCTGCCCGCGCACGGTCGCGCGCGAGCGCCCTCGTGTGCAACGCAGCGTGCCGCGCTGACGGCCCGCGCAGTCTGCGTCGCAAGGTCGCTGTGCCATCTCGCGCAGGACCCGCTTCTGATTGTCGTCCAGGGGAGCGCCGTCACCACAGCGCAGGGGCGCCAGCCCCCCCTCGCGCCGACCGTGGAGGGCCCCGTCCCCGCGGCCCTGCCCACTGCGTGTCCACGTCCTTCGGTGTGTCCAGACCTCCAGCGCGGTGACACAGGAACGAAAGTCTTGCGCCGTCTTCGGCCTCTCGGGGGCCTCGCCGGGCCCTGGGGTGGAAGGCCCGTCGCGAGGAGGAGGGCGAGATTTCTGGGGGCCCCAGATGGAAGCAAAGAGCGGGGGCGTACCTCGGGGTCCCAGGCACTCAAGTCAAGAAAACGAAGCCGGACGATCAGAGCACGTCCATGCGATGATTGTGCCTTTATCGGGCTAACCTTCCGTCCCCTGCGGTGCTCTTCTGAGCCAAATTGGCAGTTGACGATGTGCATGTAAGGAGAGTAATGGAGCACTGCTCCAAAACATGCTCAATGCGTCATTACTTTATCGTCTTGGACCCTCCCCCTGACTCGTCGGTTTCCTGATCCTCCCCTTCCTCGTTGCTCGTCCTGCACCTCTTCACCCTAGTCTCATGGTAGCCTCTTCCCATTCCTCTGCTCCCTTTCCCTTCTCCTCCATCTCCCTCCTCCTATCCCCCTCTGGTGTTGGATTTCGGTGAAGCCGCTTTTGCATCGGCAACGCTTTGGGTATGGCCCGAAGGTCGGTCGCTAGCTAATTCTTTACGCTTCGCGTATCCCCACCAGCCCATCTCAAAACAGCAACTCTTGCGAAGCATGCCGACAGTCGTGTTTTTCAGGCGTGTTTCCGCCTGCCCCCGCATATCTCCCCTGTTCCTCCTTCCTCCCGCCTCCTTGTACATCCTCCTTGTGGTGGGAGCGGGAGAAGGACGAGGCGGAGGAGGAGGGAGAGAAAGCGCTCCTCGTGGTTTGAGTCGTTTGGGGTTTCTTGTCCTGGTGTGAGTCGTTCGGGCCCTTCTTCCTGGTGTGAATCGTTCGGGCTCTTCGTGATGTGAGTCGTTCGGGCTCTTCGTCCTGGTGTGAGTCGTTCGGGCTTCTCGTGGTGTGAGTTGTTCGGGCCCCTCGTCGTCGTGTGAGTCGTTCGGGCCCCTCCTCCTGGTGTGACTCGTTCGGGCTCCTCGTGGTGTGAGTCGTTCGGGGCCCTCGTCGTGGTGTGAGTCGTTTTGGGAGCCTCTTGGAGGCCTTTTGGGGCGTCTTCGGGGCCTCTTGGCGGCCCCAGGGGCTTCTAGGAGCGTCTTGGGTGCCTTGGGGGAGCCTCTTCGGGCCTCTTGGGAGCCTCTTGGAGGCCGTTTGGGGCGTCTTGGGGGCCTCTTGGCGGCTCCAGGGGCTTCCAGGAGCGTCTTGGGTGCCTCGGGGGAGCCTCTTGGGGCCTCTTGGGGGCCTCTTGGGGGCATCTTGGGGGCCTCTTGGAGGCCTCTTGGGGCCTCTTGGGACTCTCTGGGAGGGGTCTGGGAGGAATCTTGGGGCCATCTGTGGGGCGATCGATCACAGATGAGGCGAGCATTTTTCTGCCTCCCCCCGTCGGGACCAGAATCCTCGTGAGGGGTGTCGAATTTTAGCCCTCCCAGGAGTCGAAAAAGACCCCTCCAACGACCCGCGGGGCGCCCTCTCCAGGCCCGGGGGGAGGGGGGAGGGGGAGGGGTAAACCCCTCCCCGAAGGGGAAGAAGGGGGGTTGAGAACAGAGCGGGCTCTCTAAACCAATCACGCCCGGTCGCTAGCTAATTCGGCTCGCCTTCCTTAGATTCACCCCGCGAAGCGAAGGTAAAAAAGGTTATCTTCCTGACGCCTACCCTCGCCGTGCCGCCGCAGCCTGTCGCCCTTCCCCTCTCCTGCGCAGTGAAGTGGTCACTCGCCACACGCGTGGCGAATGTAGCCAGGACCGTTCAATACGCAAGGACACATCGAGGGTTCGGCAGCACGCCAGAACGCTTCGCCGAAGAACGTCGGACCACACTCAGCGTTCTCCATTCGCGCACGCATTTTCGCGACTCAAATTACAAACGGAGGCGGCCACGAAACGTGTGGGTGATCTGCCGAAGTCGGGCGGGGTGACGCCATGTGAGCGCAGTGGAGCATTCGGTGGAGTTTTCCATGGGGCCACGAAAAACGTTCGAGGGGTCTGCTGAGATTGGCCCGAGTCGCATTGTGGACTCAGCCTCCCTATGGAGCCGCGAAGCGTGTGAGGGGTCTGCCCAAATTGACCCGAGTCACAATGTGGACCAATCCATTGAGGCCTTCGTTGGAGCTCTCTCTATGGGGCCACGAAACGTATGAGGGTTCGGCCGACATGGGCCCGAGTTACCTTGTGGATCCAGCCATAGCCAGTGGGGCAGTCGGTTGAGCCCCCCATGGGGCCACGAAGCGTGTGATGGGTCTGGCAAAGTGGGCCAGAGTCCGCATGCGGACTTTGCTACTGGGGCGTTCGGTGGAGTTCCCGATGGAGCCACAACACGTGTGAGTGCTGCCAAAATAGGCCCGAATCCGCATGCGGACCGTGCCACTGGGGCTTTCGATGAAGCCCCCCTGTGGGACCACAAAGCGTGTGAGGGGTCTGCCAAAGTAGACCCGGGTCCGCATGCGGACCTTACCAGTGGGATTTCTGTGGAGCTCTTTATGGGGACACGAGGCGTGTGAGGAGTGGGCCAACATGGACCTGAATCCGCACGCGGACCCTGCCATTGGGGCCTGAGATGGAGCCCCCTCATGGGGCCACGAACCATGTGAGCGGTGTGCCAAAATGGACCCGAGTCCGCATGCGGACCTTGTCATTGGGGCCGTTGGTGGAGCTCCCTATGATGCCACGACACGTGTGCGGGGTGCACCAAACATTGGTTCGAGTGCGCACACGGACCTTGCCATTGGTGCGTTCGGTGGAGCTCCTTTTGGAACTGCTGAGCGTGTGAAGGTGGGCGAAACAGTGATGTGAATGATGTTGGCGGTAATGTGTATGACGGCGATGATCAGAGGAGCATGAAGTATTGATATTGATAGTTTTCCAGATTTCCACGTTTTCCTGTTCTTCCGCGCGGGCTCCGGGGACGAATGGTCGAGCGCATTCCGTCGCGCAGGTTCTTTGCGTGATGGTCGCGGTGCATTTTTCGCGCATCGGAGCGCCCTCGAAGATTCCAAGCTGCATGCTGTGCTGGTCTTGGGGAGTCCGCGAGTCGCAGCTGCCGTGCTGTTTTCGAGGTAGCCCCTTCGAGTACTGTTCGCGGGCGCAACGCGCGGCGCGCGGCGCGCCCAATCGCGCGCGGCGCGGCGCGTGAATCAGCCGGCCGCGCCCGTCGGACCGCCCGGACATTATTTTTGGATTGTAGAGTGTGTCAGAAAACGCTTCCGCTTTTTTGTTGCGCAAGCGGTTCCGGAATTTTTCAAAAAGGAGCCCAGAAATTTTCAAAAAACAGTTTTGAGGGGTGGAATGCGCCCGCCGCGCAGGACATCTGAGGAATTCTGACATCCGGAATTTTTCAAAATGGATTCCGGAATTTTTGAAAATCGATCCCGGAAATTTGCAAAAACGATTTTGGTATTTTTCAAAAAAAGAAAAAATAGGCCGGACATGTTCAAAAACGTTTCCGGATTTGTTCCATTTTACTTTGGAGAAGTTTCCAGAGTCGCGCGTAATTCGCCTTGCCAGGTCTTTGGAAATCCGCTGGGGCGTGCGGTGCGCGGCGGCGGGCGATTGGACGGTGCACCGTCGTCCCTCGCGCGCTCGGCAACGAGAAGGGGGGTCAGCAAATGCCAAGTAGCCCCTTACGGGTGACCACTCGATTGTGAATGGGTGGCCGACCAGCGGCGCCAACCAGAGTAGACAATTGTCGACGCAAAGTGTACCCCGCGCGAAGGTTGTTAGAAATGCCGCAATTTCCGGAACGTATCAATAGCACGTTGTGTCAATAATTTTTTCTCGTCCTAGGTGATGTTGACGACGATGACGACGATGAGGATGATTGATGACAAGGACGGGGCGGAAGAGGAGAGGAGGGGGAGGTCGAGTTGAGGAGGTGACATGCGGCGCTGCGGATTCAAAACGAGGACCCAACACAGGAGGATTGGGAAAACGGGGATCCGTCCTCCTCTTCCTCTTCCTCCTGACTCCTCCTCCTCCTCCTCCTTGGCGCAGCGGCCAGCGCCCCCCTTGGCGCAGCGGCCAGCGCCCCCCTTGGCGCGAGGAGGGGGTGGACGGGGATTCAGCGAAGATCCAAGAAGCCCACGCGGACCTTAGAAGTTGTATGTTTGCGTCGTTATGTATTTTAGCTCTCCCTCCTGCTGCTGTCAAGACCTCCGCGGGCAAGCCGAGCTGAATTGAGCCCCCTCCCCCTGGCCCTTCCTGCCTCCTCCCAATTGTCCTCGTCGCCCTCCTTCTTATCACTAGCGGAAGCAATACGCATAGCTCGTATGAATCTAAGAGCAGTTGACTAGATCAGAGGGTCCGCCATTTTCGGGCACCCATGTGGATATTGAAGGCGTGACTTGTCTAGAAGCACATCCTTCTTCTGCCCCCCTCCCCCTTCCTCGCTCTTACCCCCTTCCCCCTTGCTCCCCGTTCCTTGTTCCCCGTGCCTCCCCCATCCCCTCGCGTTGCGGTCATCGTCGTAGTGACGATGGTCGTCGCGGCAGCGGCCGTCGTCGCCCGACGACAGATTGCTCAGAGTGGGCATCGCCCCCGCCCCGTCCCCCGTGGAGGCTGCGGTGCCGAAGGGCACGGTGCTGTGGGGCTGCCGCCGCTGCAACTACGACGAGTGCCTGGCATGTTGCGGGCGGGAGTCGGACTTCCCGCCTGCGGACAAGGCGCCCCCGCCGCCGTCGTCGTCGACGGTCGTTTCTGTCGGCGGCCGTTGCGACGTCAACGACGACGACGACGACGGCCATTGCCACTGGGACACTCTCACGTCGTGTAAAAAGGACGGCGTGAAGCTGTTGGATAATTTTCTGCCTTCTGGCGCCTTTACCTGGGCCTGGGACCGCTCCAAAAAAAGACTCTGGATGAAAGCCTGCCCCCTGGAAGAGGTCCAGACTAGTTGGGAGTCGAAACCGTCATGGAGTCAGATGTCGGGGCACCACGATGGCGGCGACGACGGCGACGACGCCTCCGTTTCGGAATTTTCTGGGCGCTTCCAGGGGCTCTCGTTGCGATTGCAGGGCGCGCTTCGGGAAGCTGGCCAGAATGAATCCTGGACGGATCTGGGCACCCATTTTGAACGGATTGTGGTCAGACAGGGAAGAAGACGATGACGACAACGGCGACCACCACGCCGACGACCCCGACAGCGACGACCACGACAACGTCAGTGACGACGACCACGACGACGGTGGCCCCGACCTCGATCACGACGGCAACAACGACGATGACGACATGGACGACGGACGACCGACGACGACAATGGCGTCAACGACGACGACGATCAGAACGACGACGACCGCGACGACGACGACGACGACGACGACGACGACGACGACGACGACGACGACGACGACGACGACGACGACGACCGACGGTGACGACCGACGAGGACGGCCTGCACGCGCTGCGAACGGGGCCCCTCGGCGCCTCCGCCGTGGGCCAGGCTCGCGCGGCGGCCACAACCCGTCCCCGGCCGCCGTCGCAGGTCGACGGCGCCGGCCGACGACGGCGCCCGCCTCATCCGGGCGGGGGGGGTCAGCAAGCACAGAACTACAGCTACGCCTCCCCCCCCCCTTTGTGCCCGCTCCCCCCCCCCGCCCCCCAGACCCCCTCGAGCAATGAAAAAATCATGACGGGAGGTTTTTCCAGATTTTCGGCCTCCGGGGGGCCCTCACCGGGCCTCGGGAGCGTCAAAAAACGACTCAGGACGAAAAGCCGGTCCCGGGGAACGGGTCGAGACCTCGGGGGGTCGACGTCATGAAAAAATCATGACGTCGGGGGTCTGGGCCTGTCGCTTCCCCTCAGGCAGGGGCCAGCGGCACGAGCCCACGCTGCACTAGCCTCTGTCGGCCCGCGCCGCTCCGCCGGCCCCCCTCCCCCCCCAGAGCCCGATATGGGGGCGGGCCGGGCGAACGGGGGGGATTGGGAAAGGGGGGGTTACGAAATTTGCTGCATGCAGCTGGTTTCGGCCTCACCGAGGGGCCCATTCCTCGAGACATGGCCGCCTCCGGCGCCGGGAGGCGCCGGGAAAATCAGCTACGTGAGCTGGTTCTCAAACCTTCCCTTTGCTATCCCCCCCTTTCGCCCGACCCGAACAACGTGAGGGGTCAGCAAGCACAGAATTACAGTGGGGGCGTGTGCCAAGAAACCAGTTGGATTTTGCCAGGGTGCCCTGGATTTTTTTGATTTTCGATGTGCCCCCCAATCGGATCTTGACGATGTTCGATCGACAAATTTGGTTTTTCACTGGACAGCTCGCGGATTTCAGGGTTGGGTTTCTTGCGGAGGTTTCTTCTGGCCGAGCCCCCACTGTACAATCCCATGAACCTCATGATCTTCCAACCTACTTGAGCCAAAATCGCCAGAGAGAGCTTCGAGCACCAAGGAAGTACCAGGGCCGGAGGGTCTTCACGAGTCGGGCCCTGGGAGGCGATACTCGTTCGGCGCTGTTTCGCGGGGCATGTGGTCCTGAAGTACGATGGGGGGGGGCAGCATAACTCGAGGGTGGAAGGATGTGGCATCTCTTCCTCGGCGGAGGGAAAGCTGGCGGAAGTACAAGGTGGTGCGTCCCGAAGAGGTGGCATGTTTCGGTTCGGGAAGTACGATGGGAACAACACAACCCTAACCCTGATCACGACGAATTCGTGGCCGAATTCAAGGTTATCCCCAAACATGTGGGTGGCTTCGTCTGAGACGTACAACAGAGACCCCCTATTCCAAATGTTTTGTCCCTCCCAACTCAGGCCCCCTCCCAAAGGATCACTGTTGTTGTTTCTTCTCAGAGGTGGGGAGCCTTCTGCGGCAATCGCTCCACCCCGCGCGTCCTTCGGGGCTGTGCCGTCTTTGCCCCCGGAGGTCCATGCGCGCCCGATGTGTTCGCATGCTGCAGGCCGGGAATGCTTCCAGCTCAGCATGCAGACAAGGAAAAATTGCATGCTTGATCTGATCCACGTTGGTGGTCACTGGAAGCAGTCTCCGGTGCTAACGGGCACTGCCACGGCAAGATGCACATGTCACGGAGTACGTCTTTGAGGTGGTGCGAAAAGAAGGTGAGTTCCTCAGAGACGTGCACTTCAGACTCAGATTGTTGGCAACAAGATACAGTGAGCGGCTTTGATAAGGAACACCTACTTTTCAAAAGGGGTTCGGTCGTTCCTTCGGTTTGCATGCGTGTTGTATCGTTCCGTATGCGCTGTTTTCATGATGTATTGTTCCTTATGCGTTGTTCTTAGGGGAAATAAGGGGCTTCGTTCTTTATCCGTAAGGGCTTCGCCCCATGCCGCCCGCCCCTGTCTCGGATAATGGAAGATGCAGAAGCTAAATCATGAGGTCTGGGCGCCGCCGTGAAGCAGTGTCGGAACCTGTTTGTTTTTCGACCCTGACCCTACGGATCTGCCTCACGGGTGCCACCGAATTTCAGAAATGTGGCAAACCCTTTGTGTTTTTTGGACCCTGACCCTACGGATCTGCGTGAGGGCTGCCGCCGAATTTCAGAAATGTGGCCAATCCCTTTGTGTTTTTGGACCCTGACCCTACGGATCTGCGTGAGGGCTGCCGCCGAATTTCAGAAATGTGGCAAATCCCATGTGTTTTTGGACCCTGACCCTGCCGATCTGCTTTAGGGGTGCCGCCGAATGTCAGAAATGTGGCAAATCCCATATGTTTTTGGACCCTGACCCTGCCGATCTGCTTGAGGGGTGCCGCCGAATCTCAGAAATGTGGCAAATCCCATGTGTTGTTGGACCCTGACCCTGCCGATCTGCGTGAGGGGTGCCGCCGAATGTCAGACATGTGGCAAATCCCATGTGTTTTTGGACCCTGCCCCCTCCGATCTCCTTGAGGGGTGCCACCGAATTTCAGAAATGTGGCACATCCCATGCGTTTTTGCACCAAGACCCTGCCGTTCTGAGTGAGGGGTGCCAGCAAATTTGAGAAATGTGGCAAATCCCATGTGTTTGTGGACCCTAACCCCGCCGATCTGCGTGAGGAGTGCCACCGAATTTCAGAAATGTAGTAAATCCAATTTGTTTTGGACTCCGAACCCGCCGATCTGCGTGAGGCTTGTCATTTTTACCCACCCCAGCAATTCAGACAACACGCTCAGGGCGTGCTAAAATTGCCCGTTTGGGGCCTCCCCCCCTCGCGCGGTCCATCAACAAGGAACAGTAAGCAGCAAGAAGCAGAATTGTAACAAGGAGCAGTAAGCAGCAAGAAGGAAAATTGTAACAGTGGAAAGTTGGCAGCTGCAACTGGCACAGGAAACTGCGGACATTCGTCCTACAGAATGGTGGCCCCACAAGGGGGCCAGCGGATTTCTCGTTCCTTAGGCCAGGCCGATGACTGTAGACCTGAAAGTACGTCCAAAGACGCGCAGTGCACCGAGGAGGAAGTCTGCCGACGGGCGAAGGGGCGCAGCGCAGTCAGGGCTCAGCCAGAGCGCAGGGCCCAGCAAGGTCCTGCAGTGGCGGGCTTCGGCTCGGCCAGATTTGGGAGCCGCTCGTGGCCCCTGGAGGTGGCCTCGCAGATTGCAGACGCCAGGCGAAGGCTGGCCATTCCGTGGCTGCTACAGCGGAGCTCTGGGAACTTGTTTTCTTCTTCCGGGGAGCAGCCCGTTCACGATTTAGTGCGCTGAGTTCAATTCCGCAAAATGTGTTCCTTTTCTTCTGGGAGAACCGTGGTCGCGGCCACGGATGTGCCAGCCCTCCCCCAGGTTCCAAATATTGGCTGAGCCGGGCTCGAGAACGAACGGCCGAACGAAAGAAGCCGCGCCTAGACGGCGCGCTTGACAGACTACAGTCGGGGCCCTGAAGAAGGAACCCTTTTCGTTGGGGAGGGGATCCGCGTTCCTTGAGTGTTTCGCAGCTTGCCTCAGGTTTTCCTTATGTTTTCGACAGGAAATCGAAGGTTAACTTATGGACAAAAAGGGGCCTCGTTCCTTACTTAGGGTTCCTTAGGTCAACACCCCGACTGTAGCACATGCGATCAGGAGAAAAAGTGCGGGGCTCAAGCGTGCAAGCGCACGGGCATCGCAGGGCCTCGGAGTCCGGTGCGCAAGCATGCTGGTGAGCGCGCGAGGGCGGAAGCCCACCCACAGCCTGGCAGGGCTGAGCCTAGACGGTGTTTTCTCGTTTTCGTTTTGTTTTCGTTGTCCCTCGCTTCTGTCTCGAATCCGCCTGCACTGCGAAGCGAAGTCGAAACGAAAAGGGCCCACGAAATCACCAGAAGCACCCTTTAGGTCCAGCCCTGGAGCCGGGTCTGCGCTGAGCAGGCCCGGCCCTTGCCAAAAGGAAGGGGAGGCGCCCCTCGCTCCGCAGGCGTCCGAGGCCGGCGGCGACACCGAGAGCCGCAGCTCCTCGAGCGGCGACTCTTGGGGCGACGCCGACGACGACGAGCTGCCGGCCGAGTCGAAGCGGAACTCAGCCACGCGCAGAGGGGGGCAGCGGGCGGGGTTGGGACGAGGATGAATGCGTTCCAGAGTTTTCCCGAGCGCGTCTCTGCCACGCGCAGAGGGGGGCAGCGGGCGGGGTTGGGACGAGGATGAATGCGTTCCAGAGTTTTCTGGAGCGGTCTCAGACCATTACGGGACGCTCCGAGAAGGTCGCGGCACCCGATTCATCCTCCAGAGCCACTGGATCCCAGAGATTCTCGATTTTATCCTCACCCGGATTTATCCGCGTACTGGCTTCGTCTAAGGGCAGCAGGAGGGGGGAAGGCTTCTTAGCAGCGCCCCTGCTTCTGAGGAGGCGTGGGCCTGGTCTGTGGATGTGAGGCCCGCGCCTCCTGAGAAGGAGTCTCCTTCTGAGAAGCATTCGCCCCTCCCCCTACAGTCAAACCGTGGTATCAGATCGAGGTCCGTTCTGGGAGGACTCCCTGGTGCTCTTCGTGCTCTCCGTGCCTGTTGGATGCTGTTCTGCATCCTCGGGAGGGTACCCTTGGATGTCCTGCTTGTTTGGCCCGACGGAGGGCCTCATGCTCTCGAGGGGTGTACTTCTGGCCCAGGTCCGCCCGTCCCCCCCTGCGCGCCGCCAAGGAAGCTCATCATCTGCGTCCGCGGCGACATCGGGACGCCCGTGGGCGCAGGGGCCGGGGCGGGGTCTGCGGGCCTGGGCGTGCGCCGCCGTGTGCTCTTCGAACAGGGCTAGGATCGGGATAAATCGCGTTTCGGAGCGTTTCGGAGCGCTCTCAGAGCGCTCTGGAACGCTCTGGAGCGGCCGCGGCGCCCAATACGTCCTCCAAACCCGCCGATTCTCAGAGATTTCGAGTTGTCGTCCTCCTCCTCCTCCTCCTCCTCCTCCTCCTCCTCCTCCTCCTCCTCCTCCTCCTCCTCCTCCTCCTCCTCCTCCTCCTCCTCCTCCTCCCCCTCCTCCAAACCCTCCAAACCCGCCGATTCTCAGATCCGATGTTGTCCCGATCCTCGCGTCGTTTTTGAGCTCTCTCTCTCTCTGGGCTAACCGCGGCGTGGGCCCCCGCTTCGATGTCGAGGCGGGCCGCGGTCGATGTCGATCTCCTGGTCCCCGCCCGAGCCGCTTCGGTGCCGAGCTCTTGCGCAGCGGGGGGTCAGAGCTCCGAATCATCAGGGGTAACTCGGGTCAGGGCTAACTCGGGTTCGTTTTTCGGGATTCCGAACCCGACTTGTCCCGGACCCGAGTTACCCCGGACCCGAGTAACCCCGGATAACTCGGGCGTCCAAGAGGGGGCGAGGCCCAGGCTCGCGTCGCGACGAAAGCAGGACGGGAGGTGTCTGCACCGTGTTCGGCCTCTGGGGGGGCCCCTGCTGGGCCCCGGGACTGTCAGAAACGCCTCGGGAGTCTCCGAGTTCTCTTCTCGAAGGAGTGGACTCGAAGAAGTGGAACCGTCAACACACGACTCGGTGGTCCGCGCGGAGTTCTTGGATTGGCGCTGGGCCCCCCTCCCAGGCGAGCGGAGGGCGCCACAGCGGCAGCGCTGGAGTCGCCTCCAAGGGGGGCCCAGCGCCGATCCGAGAAAAGCGCGCGCAGCTCCGAAAATGTACGGTTTATGTTTACGTAGTTGCGCAGTTGTCCCCACTCGGCAGGTTGGGAGTGTTAGAATCAAAGACAAGAGCTCCCGAACCACCTCGTACACCTTGCATGTCATTGTCGCCAGGCCCATAGAGCGCCCGTGCTCCCTGGATGGCTGGACTCGCGTCTTCGACAGAGGGCGATTGCATGCCGCGGCCGCCAGGCTCAAGGTGTGGTGATGCTCCTTGGGTAGTTATCCCGCCTCGAGTTCTTGGGTGGTGTCGCTCTCGGGAGCGGCCAAGAGGGGGGTGATGACTATGGGGGGGATATCATGGCGGGGGCCGTGATATCTCCCCAGATTTCACGGCGCCTCTTCTTGTTGCAATGCGTCCCCGCCCCCCCTGGGCCACGCACATGCCGCTGGCCATAATTTGCGCCTCCCCCCTCTTGGACGCCCCCCTCTTGTGCACGATGCCAGGGGATCCGTCGGAGGCCCCTGGAAGCATCCAGAGGTCCAGCAACGTCTTGGAAGCATCGAGGGGACATCAAAAATGGGCAGCAACAGAAAAATGTACTCGAACTTCGAACCTCGATCATCCTCCTGCTCCCCTGGTCTGACTGTGCCAAGCCGTTTGCATGATTATACAGAGCAGCCTTGGTGGGCGGTAGACAGGAGACTCTGAAGCCACATGTCCTTTGAGAGGCAGGCTTGTCCAGAAGTATTCGGTCACAAGGGCCCACCCTAGTGCACCGCCAGGGTAGTTTCAGCTGGCACGAGGATCAAGAACAGCCCTGGCTTTGGAGGGGTACACTCAATCCAGCTGAATCCGGCTTACTCAGTCTACTGGCCCTTCGATCGGGCTTTCTAGCCATGAGTCGTTATTGCGAAGAGTTCCCAGGAGTTGCCTCCTAGCCTAGCAGCCCCCGATTTGGTCGAAGCAGCGTACTTCCCCAGATATCGACCTCGGCTAGTTCGATCCGAACACTCTGGCGGCACTGGGCCGAGAGGCCGCCGAGGCTCCCGACCTTGGAGTTTCTCTTCGCTCAAGGTATCGCCGCGCGGGCCGTGAGCCCTGAAGTTCTCCACCTGCCAAACCACCCCAACCCAACCCGAAGGCCTCAATTTGCCCTCCATTTCCAGTGGGGGGGGGGTCGGGGAACATTGAAAAGACACATGGAACCCGTACCCCCCCCAACCCGAAATTCGGGTCAAATTCGGGTCTTCGGGTTGGGTTGGGGTGGTCTGGTAGGTAATCAGCAGTCGAAGCCGACGGTAAGGATGGGTAGCCTTGTGAAGGGGCCCAAAGGGCACTTTTGCATCCTTGCTTCCTGGGCCCATCCTTGACTACGTTCGATGGCCGGCCGCGCTCGAAAAAGCATCACGGGAGTCCGAGGGGCTTGCATCCCGATGCCGCATCCTAACATACAGGCCACATCGCTAATCGACATCATCGTTTGCCTGGCATTCGGGCAACGCAGACAACCTGCCATCAGACCCCGTGTTGTTTTTCTTTCACAGTGTGGTTCCCCAGGGGCTGGATCCCTTCTCGGGGACCTGTCCGAGTCGTGTTTGACGTTCCCGGGGCCCAGTGAAGGAGGTGCTTTGCGCGATGAGAAGTTGGCAGTGACGGCTTGGAGCGGTTGCTGAAGACATCGCGCGACAGCGTTTTTTTCTTTACCTTGCTCCGTCGCCAGCTGGTGCAAGGCACTCTCGCTCGCTCGGGATGAGGGCCCCCGAAGGCCGAGAGTTGCCGAAGCCCTCCCATCGTGATCGCGAGGATGCCAGGTAATTGTTGACGCTTCGCGAATCCCCACCAGCCCATCCAGAAACGATGCCCAGAGGAATTGCCTCGATCAGGGAAGTGGGCAGCACACAGAGGAAGCCATTATGAGACATCTTGGGATATCTTGAGCCATATTGGAGGTCATTTTGGGCTCTCCCAGGCGCGCTTGGAGTCATCGTAATCAGTGCCCCCCCCCAAGAGGCCAACATGTGGCTAAAACCCTCGTAAAATCGATGATTTGACATTCTCGCCGAGGCCTCTTGGAGCATCTTGGGTGCCTCTGGAGGGTCTCTTGGGGCCTCTTGGGGGTCTCTTGGGGGCCTCCTGGGGGCCTCTTGGGGGCCTCTTGTGGCCATCTTGGGGCCATCTTGGGACCTCTTGGGGCCTCCTGGGCGCTTCTTGGGGCCATCTTGGAGGAGATCGATCAAACAAGAGGGGAGCTTTAATCAGGGTCCCCCCCCAGGAGGCCAAAATGGGGCCAAAACCTTTGTAAAACCAATGATTTGGGCTTCCTCGCCGAGGCCGTTGTGGACGCTCCGACGACTCGCGAAACCCCTTGTCCAGGTCCATGGGGAGGGGGTAGGGGAAGGGGTAAACACCTCCCCGAAGTGGAAGAAGGAGGGGTGGAAGAGGAAACGCTCTAAACCACCGACGCCCAGAGGGCTGGTGGGATTCTTCACGCTTCGCGTATCCCCACCAGCCGATTCAGAGACCCTGACCTTGAGAGCTGACGGGAAAACGGACGAAGAGACGCATCTAGTGAAACAAAGCGAGTAACCAGGGTGAACAGAGAGATCTCTGGGAGCAAGGGGGTGGCCTTGGAAAGCCTCTTTGGACCATCCCTGGGGGCCGCGTGGGGGCGAGGGTAACGACGACAACGACGACCACGACGGCGGCCACGACCATCAGGAAGAGGAGGAGCCGGAACAGGAAGACGATGAGGGCAAGGACGAGGACGAGGAGGAGGAGTAGGAGGGGGCCCGGTGCCTTCTTAGGGCTCCTTTGAGGGGTCTTGGAGTTCTCGTGGAGCTCTTTTGGAAGGGTCTCGGGGCGCTCTTGGGGCCCTCTTGTGATCCTCTTGGAGCTCTCTTGGGGCTCTCTTGGGGGCCTCTTGGAGCTGTCGTGGACAGTGTCGGTGAAAAGAGGGTGGTACTAACGTTTTAGTCCCCCTTTCCGGACCATCACAGCAGCATCTTGGGACGCTCTTGGCCCCCTCTCGGGGCGTTCTCGGGCAGTCTTGGGGCCGTTTTGGGGGCATCTCGGGCCCCTCTTGGAGTTCTTTTGGGTCATCTTGGGGCCACCTTGACGCCTCAAAAATTCATCGGAAGCGAAAAGGTTTGAAAGCAAAAGTCATCGATGTTCTTTAGGTTTTTGATGGATGTTGGCTTCTCGGAGAGGTCCTGAGGGGTCTTTGAGGGCACCTGGAGGCGTCTTGTGGTCCTCTTGCGGCGTCTTGGAGGCATGGTAGAGGTCATTTTGAGCGAACTTGCGCTATCTGGAGCCCTCTTGGAGGCCATCTTGGAGCATCGGATGCTCCTGTGGAGCCATTTTTAGTGAAAAGGGACCCTCTGATGACTCGCGACCCCCCCGTCCAGACCCCTCGGAGGGGAGAGGGAGGGTACCCTCCCCGAAGGGAAGAGGGGCTTTGGAAGAGGAAAGAAAGATAACATTAGATAACCTATACCCAGAGGGCTGGTGGGATTGCAGGCTAGCGCCGACAGGATCCTTAGGATGCCATGCCTGGGAGGTAAGATTCAGCGTCGGCGACGGTGTATCCGTGGTCGAAAACAGGCCTTATCCGGCACGATCTTTTGCAATTCCGCTGAATCCCGTTGAATCCCACATGACCAGACTTAATTCGGTTGAATATCAGGCTTGGTTGGTCGAATGCGGCTTAATACTCCCCTGAATCGAGCTTCATATTCCCTAATCGTTCTTATGAAGATCTCCCGGGAGTTGCACCCCTGAGCGTCGGCAAGACCGCTGCGCAGGATGAGCAGCGTCGTCGTCGTTCTCGCGGCTCCCCAGGAGTCTGGTTCCCTTCCCGGGGACCGGTCCGCGTCTTTCTTTGACGGTCCCAAGGCCTGGTGAGGGCCCCAGACAGGGCCGAAACAAAAAACATGTTTTCTCATTCACGACGCGAAGATGACAGGGGATCGTCGTCTTCCTTGTCCTCCTCGGAGCAGGAGGTCTGTGGAGGCCCATGTGCTGCGCGTCGTGACCTGTCCGCGACGCGAGGGTGTCGTGGACAGGCCAGCGCCGACAGGGGCCGCCGTCGTCGTCGTCGTAGTCTTCGCGCCCCCCACCCACGGAGGATGAGCATCGGCAAGACGGCCGCGCAGGTGGGCCATGCGGTGCACAGCGCCGTGCGCCACTCGGCTTGGAGGGACCTGCAGGCCTCGTCGTCCTCCTCGGTGCCGGGGTCCTGGACGAAGTTTGTTGCTCGGATCGGCGCGGGGGGGGGGCTCAGGGGACAGGGGGTTGATCTGTGGATGCCAAGGTGGGTCATAGCTTGACTAATCTAGCTCGCAGGTTGGTTAGAAAGGCCCCAAGTGGCTGGGGGGTCGCATATCTCCGCTAAGTGGGCAGCGCAGTTTTAGCCCGAATCGCTGACCCCCCGAAACCGCTTACGGCGCTTGTAACCACGTAAGTTGTGTTAGGCTAGATATCACGCGCCGTGGCATTCACTTTTGACCCCCCTATCCCTTTAGCAGCTCCCGCGCCGATCCAACTGGGGAGGGGCAACCTTCGAGGTTCGAGGATGGAGGCCCGAGATTCGCTTTCTGGACGTTTTGAACCGCTCTGGGGCGCAGTCGTTGTCACAGCTGGATCCGCCTCGACTCTGGGCAGAGCGCGCGCCCCACGAGAGGTCCAGAGGTCGACTTTTGACACTGATCCTGTCAGTCATAAACAACGTCCAGGTTTTTCGGACGTGATCGCACGTTGTTTTCCCGAACAGTTCTTACACTTGTGATCGTGTTTTATCCCTTGTGTTGCCGATCGGCGCGGGCTCCAAAACATCCCCCCTCCCCCCCCCCCTGGAGTGGATCTTGGCTGTTTGGGGGCGCCTGTTTCGAGCAGGTGGAGCACCCCCCCCATAGGACGCACGGTTCCAAACAGCCGCATTAAGCAGAGGCTTGGAGCCAGACCCCGCCACCCCTTTCCTCCCCCGCTGCCGCCCAATGTCGAAACGCCGAATAATAAGAAAAACGCTCACCTTCGGATCGGTTCGCACATGAGGGCCTTAGCTTCTGTTCCAAGAATAGGTCTACGGGCCGCCCTAGGCCGTCATGTGGCCCCCGTCGCCGCCTCGTCACCGCCCGTCGCGTGGACCTGCGGGCCGCTCTGGCCGCTGTGTGGCCGCCGTCGCCGCCTCGTCGCCGCCCGCCGCCTCGTCGCCGCCAGCTTCGCACTGCTTCGCACTGCGCCGCATTGCGCTGCATTGCTTGGTAGTCCTTGGCACTGCAGGCATTGCTCGGCCTCGCGTTGCATCGCTCTGCGTCGCGCTGCACGGTGTCGCGTCACTCGGCATTGCAATGCGCCCTTGCATTGCAACCGTACGGTGTTGCAATCGAGTTGCATTGCGCTGCTTTACCTTCATGTGCATTGCTACAGCGTGCTTTGCATTGCCCTGCATCGCTTTGCTTTGCTTGACATTGCTTGGCACTGTTTTGCAGTGTGGTGCATCGCGTTGCATTGCGTTGCATTGCTTTGCCGTTCGTTGTATTGCTTGGCACTGCTTTGCATTGCGTTGCGCTCCTTTGCACCGATTGTTGTAACTCTGCATTACATTGGGTTGATATTACAATCATGTATGGTGCGGTTCATTGTTTTGCGCTACTTTGCAATGCATCGTTGCGTTTATGTGCATTGAGTTGCCTTGCGTTGCTTTGCGTTGTAGTGCTTGCCCTTGTTCAGCACTGCTCCTCACTGCTCCTCGCTGCTTCGCACTGCTTGGCATTGCTTGGCACTGGTTGGCATTGCTTTGCTTGAAGCAGCATAGGACGGGAATTTCCAGGCGCTTCGGGAGGGCCCTCCCCGGGGCCATCTCACTGATCAAACACGCCGGACCATCCCCGCGGGGCCCGCGGATTTGTCGGGGACCTTCCCGAGCGACAGAGGCCAGTGCGGCCTTCTCGCATAGATTTCATCGCACGGATTGTCCGCTCTAAGAAGACATTAGGATCTGCCACCCACCCACCCCGGTCGTATCGCTCCCCCCTGGAATCGTACAGTTCACACAGGATTCTGGCCCATGGTGCATTTTGAATCTGAGCTCATACCATTCCAGCCGAATTGGTAGTCCCTCCATTCATCCTCGTCCAATAAAGCTATGCGCGCGCATAGGTTTATCAATAATCATCTGTGTTCAAGAAACCCTGGCAAACAACGGGAACATGTCCACACTCGCGCGGCGACTCGTGCGCCGCATGCCGAAATCCTTGAAAAACCATAACTGCCGTAGGGATCTCAAGATCGAGGCTCCCGAAAGCAAATGCAAACATTGACTCTGCAATCTGAAGTTTCAGCTCGTTGGCGCGCGCGTTCTTGCGCATTCTCACGAACAGCATTTGTTGTACAGCATGTTCATCAAATGCGACCAGGCGGGCCTCTCGCGCGCGCATGTCCGAATCATGCGAACACCCTTGCGCGCGTGGTGAGGGGGCGCGGCCCCTGTCAAATAATAACCGCATGCCGATGATAATAAAGGGACCCCCCCCTTCAGTGTTTAGAGTTGATTATCGTCGCCCTATACAAAATTCAAATTGGGCGGCGAGCGCTGAGGCCGAACTTCATTATCACCTCGAAACGCTATGTTGAGATAGCAACATCAAGCGATGTTGATATAGCAACATCAAGCGAAGCGATCACACTTTTTCAGGATGTGTCAAGCGAAACCAATAATTTTGGGAGGCAGACTCAAACGAAACGAGCAATGTTCTTATTATTTCTATATGTCCTCACGCTCGCCTGAACTTTTTTATCCCTGGGGTTGATTATCCATGGAAAATGAAGCACATGAGCTACCCTACACGAGCACTTTTTTTTTTTTTTTTTAAAAAAAAAAAAAAAAAAAAAAAAAAAAAAAAAAAAAAAAAAAAAAAAAAAAAAAAAAAAAAAAAAAAAAAAAAAAAGCGCTTGTAAATTAAAATTGATAGATTTTGAACTTTGGATTGTTCCTTTCTTCGCCCTCTTCTTATTATCCTCTTCTTCTTTCTTATGATTATTATACTGTATTCTTCTTATTTTATATTTCTCTCTGTCCCCACGCTCGCCTGAACTTTTTTATCTCTGGGGTTGATTATCCATGGAAATTGAGGCACATGAGCTACCCGACACGAGCACTTACAAAACACAATTTTCATGAGAGATAAGCCATATTTGAGGATATTTCTATGAAAACTAAACGCCAAGGATGTCTCAAAACGTGCTCGGCTTGGTCTCCTCTTGATCATCTCTTACTTCGAGATTATGCTGAGGTCTGCTGGGCTACTTTTATTATCTCTCCCTGAACCCCGAACTTTATTATCCCCTAGTGTTTATTCTCACGGGCATGAGGTTACTATGCGGGCCACTTGCGCCCGTCGGCCGCGCGCACATGTCGAAATCCTTCCCAACCTTCGTCACCGACACGTGGGCACCATCATCGTCATCGGCGTGATCAGCATCGGTGCCATCGTTGGCCTTGCCGTTGGCATCGTCACCATCGTGACCAGCCTCGCTACGTACTATCATCATCATGTTTGCCGTTGTCGACGTCGCCATGATACCGCGACCGCCGGAGTCACCGACTCGCACTGGAGCGCCCGCGAGTCAGCGCGGCCTGCGAGACGCGCTGGGCAGTTCCCAGTGTGGCAGCGCCACCGCGGCGGCGTCGGTCGCGCCAGACTAGTTGGCCGCGCTGCGCGCAGGCCTGCGCGCGCTGGCGGCCGCAGCGACGCCCCAGCCAGCGCCGAGCAGTCATCGCAACAGCCGCCGCATGTGCTTTGCAAACCAGCTTGCGGGTGGGTATGTGGGATCATTTCGCGAGCAGTGGAGTTGGAATCTCAACGTCAGCAGGGCGAATTGCACCACACAGGTTAAACCACGTGGGTAGCATCACAGAAATTGCACCGCACGGTTCACACCACATCGATTGCATCACTGCGACTGCAGCACGTAGCTTCTGCCAAACAGATCTCACGACATAGCTGACACCACATATGTTGCTTAGTATAAATGGCACCACATGGCTCACACTACAGAGTGCACCACATCGTATGCAACGACCACACCGTTTGGGTCCACGCTGGCTAACATCGCTGTTTTTGTTGAAGGGTGTATCGCTTCGGGGTGTTTTTTTTTCTGGCAGCTGCATCTCGCCCGAAAACGTTCCGGGGATGTCGGGGTCGCCCCCAAAGGCCACCGAGGGACCTTGGCCCGAGTCTCAGCATCTTCGAGCCGGAAGGCTCTGGGCAGCCAGGGGCCCACATCGGACGCCGGGGCGTACACCCAGAATAGAAGAGCGCGCGCCGACTTAGATTATGACAGGTTCCTTTGCAGGGCACTTCGCCCCCGCCTTCCGCCTGCCGCCGCCATTTCGAACGGCGCTGCGTCGAAGAGGCGTGCAAACGAGTCTCGCCTCGAGTGAGGCCCAAATCTCTAGGGCCCCGCCGCGCTTCCTACCCTCCATGCAAATAAGCTTGCCGGGGTCCACGGTCAGGAACTTCGGCTCAGCGTGTCGCTCCGCTGGTTCTGGCCCACGCTTCGGCGCGACACGCCATCCACATCTCAGTCCCCAGGCGTCCATGTCTCGAGTGTTTCCCGCACCATCCACTAACAAGGCATGCCGTGTCGCTGGCGCCGCCGCCGCCGCGACATGCTGTGCTCAGCCGCAAGAAAAAATTGCCTCAAAAGCAAGTCCCGTGGACGTGGTCCCGACCTCGGGGGAGGGCGCGGCGCAGCGGGCGTCGGAGGGGCAGGACGCAGCCAGCAGGCAGGCCCGCAAAACGACAACCTTTCGGCTGGGCGCGATGGTCCCCGCCGTCCAAGTCGACATCCACCCCGCTCCCCGCAATCTCGTCTCTTCACCCCCCCATCCCCCGCCGAACTCATCCCCCCCGCTTTTCCAACTCGCGCCCAGCCTTCGCCCCCTCGACTAGAACTCGCCCCCCCTCCTCCCCTCGAACTCGCCCTCCCCTTCCCACCCCCCGCCCTTCGCCGAGATCGCCCCCCTCCGCCCCCTCTCGCGCGTTGCTCGGGCGCCCGCTCGCGGAGGGCAGGGGGGGGAGGGAGGCAGAAAGGGTGGAGAGGAGGAGGAGGGGAAGGATGAGCAGAAGGAGGATCAGGAGGGGAACGACGAGGAGGGGAAGAGGGGGGGGAGTAGGAGGAGAAGGGGAAGAAGGTGGGAAGTGAGGAGGAGCAGGCAGAGGTGGGGAAGGAGATGATGATGATGATGATGATGATGATGATGATGATGATGATGATGATGATGATGATGATGATGATGATGATGATGATGATGATGATGATGATGATGATGATGATGATGATGATGATGATGATGGTCATGGTCATGGTCATGGTCATGGTCATGGTCATGGTCATGGTCATGGTCATGGTCATGGTCATGGTCATGGGTCATGGTCATGGTCATGGTCATGGTCATGGTCATGGTCATGGTCATGGTCATGGTCATGGTCATGGTCATGGTCATGGTCATGTCATGGTCATGGTCATGGTGGTCATGGTGATGGTGGTGATGGTGATGGTGATGTGATGGTGAGGAGGAGGAGGAGGAGAAAGGAGGAGGAGGGGGATGAGGAGGATGAGGATGAGGATGAGGATGAGAATGAGGATGAGAATGAGATGATATGATGAGATGATGATGATGATGAGATGATGATGATGATGATGATGATGATATGATGAGATGATGATGATGATGATGATGATGATGATGATGATGATGAGAAGGCGGAGGAGGAGAAGGAGGAGGAGGAGAGGAGGAGAGAAGGAGGAGGGGAAGGAGGAGGGGGAGGAGGAGGAAGAACGGCAGGAGAAGGATGATGATGAGAAGGAGGAAGAGCAGGAGAAGGAGGAGGAACAGTAGGAGGAGGAGTAGGAGGAGGAAGAGGGGAAGGAGGAGGAACAGGAGGAGGGAGGAGGAGGATGGGGAGGAGAAGGAACAGGATGAGGAGGAGGAGGACGATGAGGAGAAGGAGGAGGGGAAGGAGGATAAAAATGAGGAGGATTAGAAGGATGAGGGGAAGGAGGAGGAACAGGAGGAGGATGAGGAGGAGGGGGAGGAGATGGAACAGGATGAGGAGGAGGAAGAGGAGGAGGAGAAGGATGAGGGGAAGGAGGATAAGAAGAAGGAGGATTTGAAGGATGAGGAAAGGAGGAGGAGGAGGAGGAGGAGGAGGAGGGAAAGAAGAAAAAAAGGAGGAAGAGGAGGAGAGGAAGAAGGAGGAGGGGATGGAGAGAGGGACCGAGGAGAAGGAGGGGAAGGAGGAAGGGGCAGAGGAGAAGGAGGGGGAAGGGAGGGAGGGAGGGATAATGCAGGGAGAACGCAGCAGGATACCAGCGATGCTACAGCTGAGGGAGGGAGGGAGGGAGGAGGGAGGAGGAGAGGAGGAGGAGGAGGAGGAGGAAGAGGAGGAGGAGGAAGATGAGGAGGAACAGGAGGAGGAGGAGGAGTGGAAGGATGAGGAACCGGAGGAGAATGAGAAGGATGATGAGGGGAAGGAGGAGGAACAGGAGGAACAGGAGGAGGAGGAGGAGGAGGAGGAGGAGGGGAAGGAGGAGGAGGAGGTTAGGAAGGAGCAGGAGGAGGAGGAGGAGGAGGAGGAGGAGGAGGAGGAGGGCTGGAGGAGGGGAGGGGAGGGAAGCGTGGGGCAGTTCCCGCAGGCCTGGGAGGCCTGCGGCTCCAAGAAGGCGGACGGCGGGCCTGGGGCCGCGCGCACCGCCCTCGGGGCACGGAAAGCATGGGGACAAAGACCGACACAGTCAAGATTCGGGGAGCCATAAATCGCATAAACATGAAAACTCTGACGTCCGCGCGGGTTCCTCGGATCGGCGTTGGGCCCCCCTGGCGGCGCCTCCTGCGCCGCCCCGGGCGCGCTCCGCGCGCCAGGGAGGGGGGTCCAGCGCCGATCCGAGCAATCCGCGCGGCCCTCCGAATTGTTGTGTTTATGTCACTGCTTGCTGTCCTAATGGGGACAGACCGATACAGTCAAGACGTCGAAATATACCATTTTCCCTTCCTAGACATGCTTGCGTCGTAATAAGCAATCACGGCCGTTTGTGTTTGGCCATGTTCGGCTTTGGGGGCTCTCGTCGGGCCCCGGGACCGTCAAAGAACGATTCAAAGAACCGTCAACATGGACAACGCTTCTATGGAAAGAAGTAATGTGGTAGCAATTCCGAGTATCCATCCCACGCTGCTTCCCAAAAACAAATTGATGTCTACGATGGAGAGTGTCATTTGATATTTGAAAGAGCGTGTTCTACCGCTGCTGGCGGAAAACCGCGGGGAGTCACTGGGGATTCCCAACCCGTCCCCCTCCCTCCCCCCTCGAAAACCGGGAGGGGGGTCACTACCAGTTCGCACCCTTCCCCCCCCCCAGGCCATCATGAAAAGGGGGGGGGTCAATACCGGTTCGACCCCCCCCCCTCCCCTCGAAAACCGGGGGGGGTCACTACCGGTTTGAATACCTCCCCCCCCCTTCGCCGCCGGCAAACGATTTCCGCTCCTCGGGACAGTTGGACAATGGTGGGGATGCTGGGACGGTGGTGGGAACGGTGGTGGGGGGGACAGTGGTGCGGGGACAGTGGGACAGTGGTGCGGACAGTGGTGGGGACGGTGGTGGTGGGGACAGCGGTGAGGGGACAGCGGGATAGTGGTGGGGACAGTGGGACAGTTGTTGGGACGGTAGTGGTGGGGACAGTGGTGAAGGCGGTGGTGAGGACAGTGGTGGGACAGTAGTACAGTGGGGAAAGTGGTGGGGACAGTGGGGACAGTGGGACAGTGATGGGGACAGTGGAGGGTACAATGGTGGTGGGGACGGTGGTGATGGCAGTGGCGAAAACGGCGGTGGGATAAAGGGACAGAGGTACAGTGGGGACAGTGGTGGGGACAGTGGGGACAGTGGTGGGAACAGTGGGACAGCTCAGTGGGACAGCGGCGGGGACACTGTGACAGTGGGACAGTGGGGACAGTGGGACAGTGGTTGGGGCCGTGGAGAAACTGGGGAGAGTGGAACCGTGGTGGAAACAGTGGTGGGGACAGTGGGGACAGTGCGACAGTGGTGGGGGCACTGGTGGCGACAGTGGGGACGGTGAGGGGAACAGTTGGGACAGCGGTGGTGAGGACAGTGCACCCGGGAGTCGTTTGCTGGCGGTGAGCGTGGGGGGGGGGAGGGGTTCGAACCGGTAGTGACCCCCCCCCCCTTGTTTTCGGGGGGGGGGTTCGAACCAGTAGTGACACCCCCTGTTTTCGAGGGGGGGGAGGGACGGGGTTCGAACCGGTAGTGACCCCCTCGGTTTTAGAGGGGGGGGGTTCGAACCGGTAGTGACCCCCCCCCCGGTTTTCTGGAGGGTGGGCGGGAAAGGGGTTCGAACCGGTAGTGACCCCCTTGTGGTTTTCTGGGGGGGGGAGGGGTTCGAACCGGTAGTGGCCCCACCCGGTTTTCTAGAGGGGGGGGGCTCGAACCGGTAGTGACCCCACCCCAGTTTTCCGGAGAGGGGGGGGGAGATAAGGTGTTATTGCGGCCTGATGGTTGTTATTATAGCGGCCCGGTGGGTGTTAGTATGGCTAGGGTTCCTCCGGAGTGTCCGGAGTGTATTAAATAACGAGTACGGTGAAGGGGGGGGGCGCTCCAAAGATGTTCCTCCCCTTTTCACCGAAGAGCCTCTCGGAAGAGCCTCTGGCGCTCTCCGAAGAGCCTCTTGGAGCCGCCGAAGAGCTTCTTGCAGCCGCCGAAGAGCCTCTTGGGCTCGCCGAAAAGCCTCTTGGGCTCTCCGAAGAGACTTGGGGCCGCCGAAGAGCCTCAGCCGCCGAAGAGCCTTTTCGAGCGGCCGAAGAGCCTGTTGTGTTGTTGTGTTGTTGTTGGTGGTTCGATTGCTTGTTCGTGTTAGTTGTTGTTGCTTTTTGTGTGTTGCTGTTTTGTGTTTTGTTTGCCCTAGACGTCCTAGGAGCCCGTAGTAACCCCTGCGCCTAGCAATCCCTAGGACTAGTAATCCCTATGACTGGAAATCCTTAGGACGAATACTCCCCAGGTCTAGTAATCCCTAGCATCGGTAATTCCGAGGTCTAGTATTCCCCAGGACATGTACTCCCTAGGACAAGTACTCCTTAGGTCTAATACGCCCAATGACTAGTGCCCCCTTGCCCCTTGGACTAGAATCCCTAGGACTAGTACGCCCTAGGGTTAATAATCCCTCGGACTAGCACTCCCTGGGACTAGTACTCCCTATGGCTTGTACTCCGCAGCACGAGTACTCCCTAGGACTGGGGGTAGTAATTCCTAGGAGTGGTACTCCCTCGGGCTAGCACTCCCTACGGCTAGTACTCCGTAGGACTAGTACTCCCTATGAGTGGTATTCCCTAGCACGGCACTGGTCGCAACGAGGCATCCTCCCTGAGCCGTCTTGAGCCAAAAATGGTTTTTTGGAAGAGGGAGAGGGAGGGGCAGTAACAACACCCAACGGGCCACACCACTAACACCCAACGGGCCACAGTAACAACCGGTCGCTGGGGTGGGTTAAGGGAGGGGGGGGGGGTTGCCGGGAGGAAGGGGGGGGTGTCCAGCAGGGGGGGGGGGGGGGGGGATTTTCGGAGGAGGGGGGGGGATCCCCGGGTTCCGGAGGAAGAGGGGGGGGGGGGGGGGCGGGGGTGGGCAATTTCCCATCGTAAAGCGGCGGTGGATCACGTTCTCTCTGATATGTGGATCGTGCCGAACGGCTCCATTGCAATGGTCTCGCTGCAAGGCCTGAGGTTTGAGATGACGGGCTGATAGTGGTGATAGTCTGCTTTTCGGTGGGTTGATCCGGAGTGGACAGAACCCCCACCCTGACACGTCGATTAGTGAATGGTCCTTTTTCGGTTCTCGAGAGGGCGCCGCGGCCATCATTTTCCAGGCTTGCGCCCGCCAGGTTTGGGCCCGAGGTCGTTTTGACTAAACCACGTTTTACCAAATGGGGTTCCGTCCATCCAAGAGTTGAGACGTGTCCCTGTCGGTTGGGGTTAGCGGGTTTGAGCAGTTGTCCGACGCAGATTGGTTCGCGGGCGCAGTATAGTATTTGCAACAGCTGGTGCCCGCATGCGACGCTTTGCGCGCGGGGTGCGGCAGTTCCGCGCGGGTGCTGCTGCGAAGTGTTCCGCATGCAGTCGTCGCCCGTGCAATAGTTCTCGGAGGTTGACAGACCTCCTGCCTTGACACGTCGATTAGCGAATCGGCCGTTTTCGGTTCGCGAGAGGGTCGCGCGGCCGTCATTGTTGCGGGTCCGGGTCCGTCGGTTTCGGTCTCAGGCCGGTTTCGCTGAAGGGTGGCTTACTGGATGGAGGTTTGTCCACCGCCGAAGCGCGCGCCTCCCGCAAGCGGTTGCGTGCTATGCCGCGCGGCAGCGCACCACTCGCGGACGACTGCACCTCTCGCTGCCGACCCCTCGGCACCAGGCCCCCTCCTCCTCCTCCTCCTCCTCCTCCTCCTCCTCCTCCTCCTCCTCCTCCTCCTCCTCCTCGTCCTCCTCCGTAGCCATTTTGGCTCAAGCACTGTTTTTTTTTGCCTCCGCGCCAGGTTTCGGTCAGCCCCACCGTGCTGGACCGCGGGAATTCGGCGGCAATGCCGCTGGCTGGCGAAGCCGGTCGCAGCGCAAGCGCAGGCCCGAGAACGGCGCGCCAAGCTCTCCGTGGTAACGGCGTGGTCCTGCCGCCAATTCGTGCGGGTGCTCGCCGCCGGCCCGCCGGGCCACGGCCGAGGGCCACCCAGCAGCAACCTCAGACTACACCCCGGAGTGCCGCGCCGGAGCAGGTCCCCAGGCCCAGGGCCACCGAGGACCTCGACATCGTGACTGTGACCTTGCAGAAGGACGAGGGGTCCGTGCTGGGCATTGACGTGGGGAACGTCGGCGGCGATTACTGTGGCGCAGTGGTTCTGACGATGTCGGGTAAAGGCTTGGTGGCTGATTGGAACAGTCAGAACCCTACGAAGCAGGTCTGCGTGGGGCACATCATCATCGAGGCCAACGGCGTCCGCGGCTACTGGGAGCTGCTGGACGAGCTCACCAAGCCAGGCAGACACACCGTCCGCATCCTTCGCGCCCTGCCCCACGAAAACTGGCAGCACCTGATCTCCTGCCTGGCCCAGGCGTTTCAGCGTGACGGAGCGTCCGATGTTCTGGGGCTGCCGCTGCCCGCGTGCGTGATGGTCGACTCCACCTGCGAGAACACTTCTTTGCAGGTCCAGGACTTCACGTGCCTGCCCAGCGTCCTGGCCTGCGACGTCGACGTGGACCAGTGCTGCATCTGCCTGGAGCGGCTGAAGCCAACGGCCCGGCTGGTTCAGCTGCCTTGCCGGCACAGTTTTCACAACATCTGCGCCGCGCGCTGGCTGTCGCGGAACGACCGCCACACCTGCCCGCTCTGCATACGACCCGTTTTCGAGTCCAGCGGAGCCGACTAGCTCGCAGTCATCGTGCCGGCGCACGGGGGCAGCGTTGCCCGCCTCGTGCCCGGTCTCAGCCCCGTCGGGGCTGTGCCGCCGCGCTGTGTGTTAGTCTCATGGCTTCCTCTTTTTGTTCTCTCTCTCTCTCTATCTCTCTCTTTATGCTCCCTGCCCCCCCCCCTCCCTGTCTTCCTGCGCCTCCTCGTCTTGAACCTTTTGTCTTCCCTCGCGCTCTTGGCAGCTGGATAGCTGCCTCGAGGGAGGGGGCCATGGAGTACTCAGCTGTACCTGCCTTGAACCAGCACGCCGTTCATTCTCCTCTCTCTTTTGCTCCGCTCGCCTGATCAGGCCCCGCTCCGCCTCCCCGGCGTTCTTTGCTAAGCGGGGACGCTGGGCCGACTTCAGGGGGGTACCTTTCCCACGCTTACCATCGAACGCAGGAACTCAAGACTCCTTACGGGACGCGCGAATCTCGATCTTCTTGTTTAGTGTCTGCCACGACGGGCGTCTCCATCATGCCGTGCTTCGCCGACGGCCGTGGAACGCCTGACCTGGCAACGGCATCGGGTCATACGTTTCCATTTGTTCCCCATATCCTAAGATGGGGTTCTTGTTATTACTTGGACGCCTCCTACTCCCTCTCCCTCCTCCTCGTTCCTCCTCCACTCCTCCTCTTTCCTCATACTCAGACCTACTCATACTCAGACTTACTCATACTCAGACTTACTCATATTCAGACCTACTCATACTCAGGCTTATTTACACTCAGACATACTCATACACAGACTTACTCACACACAGACTTACTCACACCCAGACGTACTCATACACAGACTTACTCATACCCAGACTTACTCATACACAGTATTACTCATACTCAGACTTACTCATACCCAGACGTACACATACACAGACTTTCTCATACACAGACCTACTCATACCCAGACTTACTCATACACAGACTTACAGGGGAGCCGCCAGGGGTGGTTGCACGGGCTCGTTCGCGGCCATTTTGTGGGGATGTCTCAGGCGGTTTGCTTGTTTCTGGGCCCAACATCCTTCGCTTGGAGAGCAGATTGTGAGGATGTCTCAGGCGGGGCGCTGGTTACAGCACCTCTAAGGGGAGCCGCCAGGGGTGGTTGCACGGGCTCGTTCGCGGCCATTTTGTGGGGATGTTTCAGGCGGTTTGCTTGTTCCTGGGCCCAACATCCTTCGCTTGGAGAGCAGATTGTGAGGATGTCTCAGGCGGGGCGCTGGTTTCAGCACCCCTAAGGAGAGCCGCCAGGGGTGGTTGCACGGGCTCGTTCGCGGCCATTTTGTTGGGATGTCTCAGGCGGTTTGCTTGTTTCTGGGCCCAACAGGGAGGGAAATGACAGGAACGAGGATGAGGAGGAGGAACAGGAGGAGGACGAGGCGGGGGGATCGTGAGGAAGGGCATGGGGGTGCGGAGGGGGAGGGGGAGCAGGAGGATGAGGAGGAGGAGCAGGAGCAGGAGAAGGGAGGGGGCGGAGGAACAGGAGGAGGAGGAGGAGGAGGGCGCTTTGCTCGAAGGTCCTTGACGCGAGCAGAACGTTTGTTCCGAAATCCAGGACATACATATATATATATATATATATATATGTATTCATAAGGGGGTGACTGCGAGGGGGGGCGGTGGTTGTGTGCGGGGACCGCTGGAAATGCTCACCGTGGCATTATCCTCCAACATGACATGCACTTATGGCCTTGTGTGGCTAAACGCTCGTCTTACATAGCCCACTGCCATCCTACAACATATGCACATGTGGGAAGCTCCAAAGCTACCACGGGCTGAAAAGGGAAAGGCCTGGCAGCTGAGGAGGGGGGATGAAGAGGAAGAGGCTCGCATTCAACCATACTCAAAGCTCACTCTGACTCATACGCAATCACTCGCATTAGGGGTCACTCGTCTTCGTCGGCCCTGTCGCCCACGTGGACGCGCTATTGTAGTCGACCGCTCATGAACAGACGCTCATCACGGCATGACATAAAACATGAGATGCACATATGGGGAGCTCCACGCAGTGAGTAATTAGTGCTGCCCGGCAGTCACATTATGAAAATGTGTCATGCCAGTTCTTACCAACAAGATTATCGGCCTCGTGTATGGCGGGGGGTATGCAAGGGTAGGGGCATGATGAGCGTATCAGGGGGAGCGGAACGGGGGGGGGATCCAGGGTCCATGTCACCATGCGCAGGTAAACTTTGCGATTGCAGCGCGGGTGTTGGAGACGGAGTAGAGACGTCCTGTCGCCAAATGGGGGTGTGAGATTAGATTGCACATGGAATCACCCAGTTAGTCTTAAACACCCCTGGCGCTGGATGGACTGTTGAGTGCCGAAGGCCGAACTTCCCTTTCATTCTCCATGTGCTCGTCAAGCCAGTATCTGCTATTGCGCTGCAGCTCGAGAGCACCATCCGTGGTGAGCCGAGCAGGCCTCCAGGGCTCCTCCTCCTCCTCCTCCTCCTCCTGCTCCTGCTCCTGCTCCCAGCTCGGAGCGTTGCCCTCGGGAGTGGCGCGGGGGTTCGGGCAGCTCCTCGGGCCCAGGTCGGGGGAGCCTCCTCGTGGCCGGGGGTCGCCGTGACCAGAAAAAAAACCCTCGTTCTCTGTCCAGCCTTCCTGGCGGTGACCAGCACGATGGCTGCAGCAGTTCGGGTCGCCGCGTGTGGTGGCCGTCGGAAGCGGGTCGCCTGCCCACCAGCCGCCGCTTGTCGGCTGTGGACCGACTTCGCTATTGGCCATCGTACCCATCTGTTCCGTAAATGCCTCGGGCATGCCGAGAGGGGGAGAGGACGAGGAGGAGGGGGGCGACAGCACAGCACGCAAGCGTTGCCATCATCCGTTCTAGTGGGTTCAAGGCCAGGACGGGCTACAAAGTGGTTACCTCATTCACAAGAGGGGTTGCTCCGAGCACCATGTTGCCTTCTCCCTTTCTACCCCATCAGGTTCCACACTGCGGGGGCCTCGCGGCCCGTGCCGCCGACCATGAAGGGTGACGACGACGACGACGACCACCACCGCCACCACCGCCACCACCACCACCGCCACCACTGCGACGGCGACGGCGACGGCGACGACGACGGCGGCGGCGGCGGCCGCGGCGGGGGCGTTGGCGGCGGCGGGGCGGCCGGGCCGCGGGGCGGCCCGAGGCGGTCGCTCGGCGGCCTTCGAGGATTGAGCGGCGCGCGCCGCCAAGTGCGCTCGCAGGCGATTGGTTCCCCCAGTCTCAAGTCGGGCCTGTCCCTCTACAGGAGGGACATTTGTGTAACAAAGAATGGGGATTATTGTTTGCGTATGTTTAAGCGTTCGTTGGATGTGTTCTGGGTATTTGGAATTTTTCGTCCAAGATCCCCCTGTGTGGGGGGGGACATGCCCGACTTAACCCCAGTCCCCGAGTTGCGCCCGAAAAGTTGGGCGTTCAGAGAAAAGGGGGGAGCCCTGGGATGCACCCCGAGGGGCTATGCGGACGCACCCCTATCGAGGATGGACGCCCCCGAACCGTCTATCCCAGAGTTGGGCCCCAAACTCGCGGTCCGCTCAAAAAGCCAAGCAGCTTGGGAGTGGGGTCCGCGCCGCCGGGGGCCCCCGGCGCCCATCCGAGCAACCCGAGCGGACCTCCAAAAGTTCGATGGCTATATCACTGCCTGCCCCCCTGGAAGGAGGAGGTGAAGAGGAGGCTGGGTAGTCGAAGGCCAGACTGTCAGATTGGATTGGGCCCCAAGGGCCAATCTGGCCCGGCCAGACTGGATGATTTGGGTTATCCGCCAGACTGGATTCGCGTTGGCTCCCTCGCCAGATTGCCCCCGTTTGCCAGATTGGGCCTGCCAGATTGGCGCCAGATTGGCTTCGACTACCCAGATTGTCTGCCCCCCTGGAAGGAGGAGGTGAAGAGGAGGGGCTGGAAACAGAGCTTGCTAGCGTTCTGGTCATCGATGAGGCAGCGCCGATTTAGCGTCGATTTGCGTAGATCCGGCGTCGACCAATGTCGATTTGGGCCGATCACGGTCGATTCGCAGGAGCCAGCAACATTGCATGTGAGGCCCCCATGAGCTGCCACCGAGCCAGGAGCGGCAGGGTACGGCGGGATCGTACCGTGTCGACGCGGCTGCGGCCCCCCGGCGCGGGCGTTCGGGGTGTGGCTTGGGCCTCGCGTAATGGGGGGGCGGATAAGTGGGGGGTCAGCGAGGGCTGCAGAAGAAGGGGCATCTAGGGCCCTTGAAGGGGGTCCTTTAGGGCCAAACGGGGATCTTCAGGGCCCGAGAAATTCATTTGTCTGCCCCACACACACACATTTATCGCCCCCCATCGACACCCAGGGTGCGCCGGCAGTGGCCCCGAGCCGGCCAACATCGAACGACCCGTGCCTTCGGAAAAATCGAGCAGTGGCGAAGCGTCCGGGCTTGCCTTTAGGCCCACCAAAGAATGTTCTGAAAATTTGTTGTGGTCTGCTCGAAATGCCCTTAGAGGGCTGTCTTGTTTGAACACATCGGGTTTCTGTTCGAAGAGCATTGCGTAGGTTCTTAGAACACCTCTGCGTTCTAGAAACATGTCGTGGTAGAACTATAGGAATGCCGGGACCGTCGGTCCCTGCTCAAAGTCGGCCACGCGCAGAGGGGGGTAAGGGGAGGGGGGAAGCCTTCTTAGAAGCACCCCTGCTTCTTAGAAGGCGCGGGCCTCCTCTGTAGATAGAAAGCCGGCGCCTTCTAAGGATCAGCCTCCCTCTAAGAAGCCTTCCCCCCTCCCCCTATCCCCCTTTGCGCGCCGCCAAAAGAAGCTGCGGTCATGGAAGACAGAGCAGCCAACGCGGTGCCCGGAGCCGCCGCTGGCGGCACAGCACGAGCCTGCCGGGCACGCGGGGGGCGCAGGTGACGCTCAGAGTCGACTCACAGGAGCAGCTCTTGGAGATCAGGCCCCCGCCCCAGAATTGGCGGCGCGCACAAGGGGGCAGGTAGGGGGAGGGGGGAAGGCTTCTTGGTAGAAGGAGGCTGCTTCTCAGAAGGCGCCAGCTTCACATCGGAAGAGAAGGCCCTCACCTCCTAAGAAGCAGGGGTGCTTCTAAGAGGCCGCATCCCTCCCCCTACCCCCCTTTGCGCGCCGCCAACAGTAGCCCGAGGTCTCAGGCGGAGGATCAGGAGGAGGATAGGGAGGATCGAAGAAGAAAAAACGCAATAAAAATAATCTTCTGGCGCTCCGCGCGGATTTGTTGGATCTGCGCAGGGCCCCCCCGGCGGCGCCTCCGGCTCCACCCTTGTCGCGCGCCGCGCGCCAGGGATGGTCCAGCGCAGATCCAAGAGAACCCGTGCGGGCCGTCGAAAGTTTGTGTGTGCTCTCTTTTCTTCCTCTACAGAAGCCCGAGGTCTCTCGGAGGATCAGGAGGAGGATAGGGAGGAGGAGGAGGAGGAGGAGGAGGAGGAGGGATGTCACGGATCCACCAAGTCCGTCGCACGGGCATGCGGGGCCGATTTTTTCGAGGAAGTCCCCAGCCTTCTGCCAGGCTGCACCTCCCGCCCTGCCGCCTCGTGCGCGCCGTGGAAACGTGAGGGAGCTCGCCAGAGCCTTCCAGAGGCTGTCGAAATCTCCCCCAAGCCACCCAAGCCCTCCAATGCGCGCGGCAGCGGAGGCAGGTTGTGGCTGCCACAGTGGCGGTGCCTCAGGGGAGGGTCGGCGGGGATTGCTATGGCTACCGTCGATTGCGTCGCAGTGGAAGGAGGAGCATCGAGGGAGGGGAGGGGAGGGCGTCGTGTGGCGAGGTGTCGTGGGGAAGGGAGGGAGATGATCATCTGCAGTGGAGCTGCCGCTGACTCTGTCGCCAGGCGGCAAAGAGTGGTTTCGTGGTGTCGGAGTCGTCCGAGGTCGCGGCCTCGTCATCCTCGTGGTTCGTCTCATCTGAAGAGACGGCACCGTCTTCGTGGTCGTGCTCGTGTTGCTGGGCGTGGTAGGCGCTGTGCTCACCGTAGAAGCGGCCATTTCTCCAGCGCTGCGCCGAGGCGTGCTGCTGCTGGAGGTCGCACTGCTCGTGTCTCTGGTCTCTGGTTATGCAAGCTGGCAGGGCGACCGCCCGCCGTAAGGCTGGGCGGGGCGCACACTTGGTGCACACAACCGCCAGCCCAGGGCCCCGCGGCGGGTCGCTTCGTCGTGGGCTGCCGGCGAGGCCGTCGTGGTGAGCTGTCGTTGGGACCCTCGTGGTGGCCGTGGGCGTCCTCGTGCTCGCCTTGGCGGTCACCAATGACGGCGTCGCCGAGGGCGGAGGCTCCGTTGTTGTCGTAGTCGCCGTCGGGGCGGGCGCCGTCGTCGTCGTCGCCGTCGGGGTTGGGCCATCGTCTGGGGCCGTCGTGAGGTCGGCCGTGGTAGCCGTGGTTGGGGCCGTCATGTGGGGCCGTCGTGGGGGTCGTCGCCGAGACGCCGTCGTGGGGGGCCGTCGTGGTGGCGGGTCGCGGGAGCCGTCGAGTCGAGTGGCGGGTCGCGGGGTGGGGGTTCGCGGGAGCCGTTGGGCCGTGTAGTGGGTCGCGGAGGCCGCTGGGCGGGGGGCCGCAGGGCAGGGGTCATGAGGTCGAAGACCCAGCTGTCCGTGAGGGGAGCTTTGTCCGTGTAGCCGAGGTAGTCCCAGGAGGGGGTCGGGCGTGGGGCGCGCGTCCGAGCGGGGCGTCGGGCGGGGAGTGGGTTGGGGAGTCGGTCTGGGCGCTGGGGAGAGTGTAGGGAAGGGCGTCAGGCGGGGCATCGGCTTGGCCGTCAGTCCGTCTGTCTTCGTGCCCGTAGTGGCGGTCGCTGGCGTCGGCGTCGCAGGGGAGCGAGGCCTCGTCGTGGTCGTCGTCGGAGGCGTGGCGGACGTCGTCTTCGTCGCCCTCGGGGTGCGGACACGTCGTGGGGCCCGCCGCAGGGGGCCGTCGTTGGGGCCGTCGTGGGGGGTTGCCTTGGTGGTGGGTCGTGGGAGCCCTCGGGTTGGGTGGGGCGTCGTGGGGCCGTCGATGAGGTCGGGTGGGGGGTCCCAGGGAGACCGCGTCCCCGGGTGTGTCATCCGCAGGCTCCTTCTCAGGGCATGCGGCCATTCGGGGCGCGGCTTTCATGGAGGCCGTTGGGCTGGAGGGGTCGCGGAGTGTGGGGTCGTGGGAGCCGTCGGGCTGGGTACAGGGACTCATGGAGGCCATCGGGCGGGTGTCGTAGGGCAGGGAGCCGGGGGGGGGTTCGTGTCGTAGTATCAGGCAGTGGCGAAACGTCTTGGCTCGCCCATAGGCCCACCAAAGAATGTTATAAGACCGTTTTGTGGTCTGCACAAAATGTTGTTAGGACATCTCTGGCCGAGACTGTCTTGTTTGAGCACGTCGAGAGGGTGGTCTAAGAGTATTGTGCCTGTTCTTAGGACATCTGTGGGCTCTAAGAACATGTCGTGGCAGGCCTATAGGGATGCAGGGACGGTCGGTTCCTGCCCCTTAGGAGGCGGAGCAGTCGCACGCCGGGATATAAAGGGCGGTAGCGGAAGAGCCTCGTGGTCGCCGTGGTTGGCTTGGGCGTCGGCGGCCCGGTGGCCGGGTGGCCCGACCGTGGCTCGGGTGGACCTTGAAGGGGGTTAAAACGACGCGAAGATCGGGACAAAATCGGATCGGGATAATTCGAAATCTCTGAGAATCGGCGGGTTTGGAGGATGTATTGGGCGCCGCGGCCGCTCCAGAGCGTTCCGGAACGCTCTGAGAGCGCTCCGGAACGCTCTGGAGCGATTTATCCCGATCCTAGCCCTGTTTTAGTCAAGCGACAAGGGGGTGGTGCAGTGGATCTGGTGCAATAATTAGATCTGTGGCGTTGCAATACATTTGGGGCGTGCCATACATTCCGGGGCGCAAAGGTACTGCGGGAGGTTCGCGGGCAATACGTCAGTTGCGATGCGATGCAATACAAATCTCCGGCCCAAGGCATTGGCAATTCAATTGCCTCAAACCTATTGCACCACCCCCTTTCAGTTGGACCCCTTTTTGGGTCAACCAAAGTGAAGTCGCGGTGGGAAGAGTCGTGGCTGTTATGTTTGATCACTGTGGGAACTTGGGACGGACAACGTACTTGTAGGTCGTTGGCGGTCGTGCCTTCTCTGACGCAAGTCTTAACCTGGTGCCCAGCGACGGCGGAGGTGGCCGCGGCGACCAGCAGACGGACGTCGCATGTCCTGGGCACTGTGTTGGTGTGCGCGGCTTGCCCTAATTACGAGGCAGGCCAATCTGGCATCCAGAGGCCCTCCTCGAATCTCGAAGACACCCCTCTGGGGCAGGCCCGACATCGGTCCTCGATCATCGTGCCCCCTCCTTCAACATGTACCCAACGATTGCGCAGACCACGATTGTGACCTTTGGGGGTCACAGGTCCGCTATGACCCCCGTCGGCGGATAGAACAAACAAACAGCGCAATGGAAAGGGATGGGTGGGAGGGGTGGGGTGTCAGGTATGCGGCTGCCTGCGGCAAACTGCAGCAGCGCAGCAGAAAGGAAGTTGAGTGTAGGAACAGCGCAATTCCGACGAGTCGTCTACTGGGTCGGGTCGTGATCCCGACCTCGCCTTCGTCCGCGCGGTAGGAAGGAGGAGGAGCAGGAGGAGGAGGAGGAGAGCGGAAGAGGAGGAGGAGGAGGAGGAGGAGGAGGAGGAGGAGAAGGAGAGGGAGAAAATGAGAATGAGCAGGAGAAGGTTTCTTGGGGCCTTCTTGGAGCTTCCTGGGGGCCTCCTGATAGCTTCATGGAAGTTTCTGGGGGGGTCCTGTTGGGGCCTCTTGGGGGCCTCTTGGGGCCTCGTGGGCCGCCTGAAGGGACTCCTGGCCCAGTCTGACGCCTATGGAGGCCGCCCTGGGGGGCTCTCTAGGCCCTCTTGGCGGTCCACGGCAGTCTTGGCGCCCTCTCAGGAGCCCCTGGGGCGACATGGGTCTTTTCAGGCTGACTTCGAGCCCTCGTGGAGGCCTCTTGGGTTGTGTTGGAGCTATCTTGGAGTCCTATTGGAGTTCTCTGGGAAGCTTCTTGGGCCGTCTTAGGCGGTCGGAAACCCGAACAGGCGAGAGCCTCGAAATGTGTTAAAGATCGCCAGAAAGCAATTTCATAGGAAGCGGTTTTCGAGGGGTGCGTGGGCGGGGGGGGTCGGTCCTAGAAAATCAGATTATCCTGACGAAGGGCCAAACCATATGCAATTGCGGGTATCGCATTATGAATACAGCTTTCGGTGGAGCTCCCTATCGGGCCACGAAACGTGTGAGGGGTGTGCCGAGATGGGGCGGGAGCACCCTGTGAACCTTGTTACTGCGCCTTCGGTGGAGCTCCCTATGGGACCACTGAATGTGTCAGGGGTGTGCCGAAATGGGGCGGGGCCGCCATGCGAACCCTGCCACTGAGGCCGTTTGCCAGGCTCCCTATGGGACCACGAAGCGCGTGAGGGATGGATTTAATGGGGCAGGGCCGCCATGCGAACCCTGCCACTTGGGCATTTGGTGGAGCCCACTTTGGGGCCACGAAACGTGTGTGGCGTGTGCCGAAATGGGGCGCGGCCGCCATGCGAACCTTGCCACTGCGCTTTCGGTTCCTCTGGCGCCACGAAACGTGTGCGGGGTGTGCCGACATGGAGCGGGGCCGCCCTGCGAACCTTGCCACTGGGCCACTGGGGTCGTTGGTGGAGCTCCCTTTTTGGGGCCGCGAAACGTGTGTGGGGTGTGCCGAAATGGGGCGCGGTCGCCATGCGAACCCTGCCATTGGGGCCATTGGTGGAGCTCCCTGTGGGGCCACGAACCGTGTGGAGGGGGTGCCGAGATGGGGTGGGGCCGCCATGCGAGCCCTGCCACTTGGGCCTTCGGTGGAGCTCCCTGTGGGGCCACGAAGCGCGTGAGGGGTGCGCTGAAATTGGGCGGGGCCTCCATGCGAACCTTGCCACTGGGGCCTTCGGTGGAGCCCAGTTTGGGGCCACGAAACGCGTGAGGCGTGTGCCGAAGTTGGGCTGGCCCGCCGGGCCAACCTTGCCATATCGGCCTTTGTGACTTTCCCTATGGGGCCACGAACCGCGTGAGGGGATGGTGATGGTGATGATGATCATGATCATGATCATGATAGTGATGGTGATGGTGAGGGTGAGGGTGAGGGTGAGGGTGAGGGTGAGGGTGAGGGTGAGGATGAGGATGAGGATGAGGATGGTGATGGTGATGGTGATGGTGATAATGACGCTGGTGAGATGTGTGTTGATGTTGGTGCTGATGATGATGCTGGTGATGATGATCATGATCATGATCATGATCATGATCATGATGATGATGGTGGTGGTGATGGTGGCGGTAGTGGTGATGATGGTGATGATGGTGATGGTGACGAGGGTGATAATGTGGATGGTGATGAGGATGGTGATGAGGATGCGGATGAAGATGAGGATGACAATGATAATAATAATAATGATGATGATGATGATGATGTTGTTGATGATGGTGATGATGGTGATTGTGATGGTGATGATTGTGGTGATGGTGATGATGATGAGTGCGATTACGATGGCGATGGTGCTGTGGATGCTGACGATGATGATGACGATGACCATGATGTGATGATGCTGATGATGATGGTGATGATGATGGTGGCGATGGTGATGGTGATGATGATGGTGGTGATGATGACGATGATGATGATGATGATTGATGATGGTGGCGATGCTGATGGTGAAAATGATGATGACGATGCTGAGGATGATCACGATGATCAAGATGATGCTGCTGATGATGATTATGGTGGTGATGGTGATGGTGGTGGTTGCATTTGATGATGATGGAGGTGAAGGCGAAGATGAATCTGATTACGATGAACATGCTGATGATGATGGTGATGTTGGAGATGATGGTGATGGTTATGGCGGCTGTGATGACGATGATGATGATTATGATGATGACGATGATGATGATGATGATGATGGTGATGATGATGGTGATGGTGATGGTGATGGTAATGGTGATGATGGATGCTGCTGCTGCTGAACCCTGATGATGGTGGTGATGATGATGAAAATGGTGCCGATGGTGATGCTGGTGATGCTGATGATAATGGTGATGATCATGCTGATGCTGATCATGATGCTGATGATGATGACGACGACGATGATCATGATGATGGTGATGATTCTGATGGTGATGATGTTGTTGATGATGATGAACATGATTATGAAGAAGAAGGGGGAGGGCGATGAGAGCGAGGAGGAGAGGAGGAGAAGACGCGCGGCGATGCCTCTTCAAAACGAGAACCCATCACCACAGGATGGTTGGGGACAAAACTCCAAGACAATACACAAGCATTTCAGCACGCCCATTCCGTGGAGGCACGGTGGCTGATGGCACGAGCGCTCCTACATTGATTTGAAAGCTACTCTCCTTGATTCCCCGACTACCTGCTGAAAATGACCCTCCCTCTCCGTGTATTCGTTCGCTTGATGGTTGCTTCGATCGGATCGTGTGGGGTGTTTCCGCTGCAGAGCTGGATCCGAATCGTTCCTCATTTGTGCCTCCCCCTGTCTCCTGCGCCCGCTTCTCCCGCTCCTGCTCCTGCTGCTGCTATCCTCCTCCTCCTGCTCATCCTCCAGCCCATCCGCCACCTCCTCCCTCTTTTTCTGATTGCACATACCACAAATGATGTCTGCGCGGGGGATTCCAGGCCCACTGTGACACACCCGTCGGCGGGTGGAGAGAAAAAATCAGCGCAGTGAGAGGGGATGGGAGGGAGGGGTAGGATGTCTGACATGCCGGGAGCGCAGCTGGCTTGCCCCCCACCCTCGCTCGTTCCTATCTCATTCGTCGCTCTTCCCTCCTCTTTCGGGCGATCGCAACCATGGATGAAGGGGGCGTGGATTAGCGACCCGGTCCCGTTTCCATGGGAAATCGCGGACTGCCGCCGCCGAGCGAGGCCGCACCGGCCGCATTTTGAGGAGGGCATCTCCCCCGATCCATGGAGTTGGCAACCGCGCGCCAGATCCATGGATCGCTAATCCATGTTTGCGCGCCCCTGGCTCCTGGTCTTCCCCCAAGGGGCCTCCCTCGAGTGCGGGGCATTGGCCCTGAGCCCGAAGCATCTCCTGGCGCTGTGCGTGTCTCTAGGCCTCTTCGATGGGGTCAGAGTAGATGGGGTCGGAGGATCGCGCCGCATCGCCGATGCGGTTCGATGTGGTGTTTAATTTTCTCCACGCCGACGTCGCCGATGCATCGCCGACGTCGCCAGTGCATGGCCGATGCATCGCCGATACATCGCCGATGCATCGCCGCTGTATCGGCGATGCGGCGAGATCCTCCGACCCCATCCACTCCGACCCCGTCTAGGAGGCCTCTAGTGTCCAGAGCTTGCTCGGGCGTCTGGCCGTCCCTCCGTACCGCCGGCGTAGACGCTCGGCACAGGAGCTCTTCATGCAACGCTTGGCCCCCCCTTCATGCAACGCTTGGCCCCCCCCTTGACTCAAGGGGTCCAAGGACACACAAATAGAAACACACAAGTCCCAGGATTCCCCAGATGTTTCCACAGCTTCTGGACTTTCGACTTCCCCCCCGCTTCCCATAGTTTCCCATATCTTCCTGGGAGTCGACGATTCATTGTGTCTGTGTGTTGTTGTCCCCTCCTGATTGACGGGCCCCCCCGCTCGACATCGGACAGCGCCGAGCTCCTTCGGCGCCGCCCCCCCCTCGCCCAGAGCACCCTCGAGCTCGACTCGACACTGAAGGGGGGGCGTCCGGGGAGAGGCCCGACCTCGACCCCTCTCGGGCGTTGCGTTGCGCATTGGGGCGGGGGGGGGCGATGTTGGGAGTGGGGCGATGTCGGGAGGGGGCGACCTGGGGAGGGGGGGCGATAATGGGAGGGGGGGCGATACTGGGAGGGGGGCGATATTCGGAGGGGGGCGAGATTGGGAGGGGGGCGAGATTTGAGGGGGAGGGGGGGGGCGAGATTGGGAGGGGAGGGGGCGAAGAGAGGTGCACCTCTTGTGCCCCCCCCCCACGGGCCCAGCAGGGGGCACCGGAGGCGTGCTTTTACTCCGCCCGCCTGCCCCCCGTTCCTCGAGGCCTCCCAGACGGGGCCGGAGCAGACGGGGCACGAGGATCTCAGGGGTGGAACTGAACGGTGTTTGGGCGATCTCGTAAGCCGTTTTCGTTTCGACTTCGTTTTGCGGGGAAGGCGGATTGAAGACAAAACGAGGGAAGACGGAAACAAAACGAAAACAAAAAACACCGTTTAGGTTCAGCCCTGGAGGATCTCACCGCGTCGCCGATGCATCGGCAATGCGGCCCGATGCAGAGCCCGCTCTTCTCCACGCCAACGCAGATGCATCGCCGATGCATCATCGATGCATGTTGGCTTGGCATCGCTCGGACGTGCGTATTTTTCCTCGTCAAGAAGCACCGGGGAGCACTTTGGGCCAACTGGCGAAGGAATACACGCACGGAACCGACCAGTGCACGAGGAGTGGACGTCCGAGAGGAGGAGGAGGAGGAGGAGGAGGAGGAGGAGGAGGAGGAGGAGGAGGAGGAGGAGGAGGGCAGGAGGAGAGGAGGAGGGAGAGGAGGAGGAGGGAGAGGAGGGAGGGGGGAGGGGGGAGGGGGGGAGGGGGAGGGGGGGAGGGAGGGAGGGAGGGAGGAGGAGGAGGAGGAGGAGGAGGGAGGGAGGGAGGGAGGGAGGGAGGGAGGAGGAGGAGGAAGGGAGGGAGGGAGGGAGGGAGGCGCGATCCTACGGCCCCACCTGCTTCTGTGCTCCTCGGCCTCCGCCGCCGGGGAGGCCCTGCGCTCCTCGGCCTCCGCCGCCGGCCCCCCGCCCGAGGCGCGCGGCCCGCGGCGCGGGCCTGATCGCCGAGAGCATCCGCGACGCCGGGCACTTAGAGCGTGAATTACCTCCCCCGCTTTCGCTTCCAGGCAAAACCAAGTCATACCACGCGCCTCCTCGTCAAGCGGCCTGACCAGTGCAGGCTGCAATTTGGCATCGTTTGGTATCTCTTGGAAGCGAGGGTGGTCAAAAGCGAGGGAGGTTTGTTTTCCCCCTAGGCACACCGAGCTGGAGCCGGGCACCATGACAGGACGCGCGGCACTGCTCGGGCGGGTCCCAAACCCCCTAGAGTTTTGAGAAAATCACGACGGGAGGTGTTTCACTATTTTCGGCCTTTGGTGGCCCTGACCGGCCCTCGGGACCGTCAAAAAACGACCCAGGACGAAAAACCGGTCCCGGGGAGTGGATCAAGACCTCGGGGGGTCGACGTCACGAAAAAATCATGACGTCGGGGGTCTGGGGTGCACCTCGGAGGCAACGACGGGGGGGGGAGAGAGGCATGCCGTGCGGGCGCGCCTCAAGAAACCGTATGCTTTTCGTCGGGGTATCCCGGGTTTCTCCGCTCCTCGCGCTGCGCGGTGATTTCCCGCAGCCGTTGGAGAAGCTGCTGCGTTCAGGGTGCTCCAGGTTTCCCTTCAGGTGCACCTCGCGCAGGGGTTCTCCGGGTTGGGTTTCTTGCGAGGGTTTCTTGCGGCCGCGCCCGCACGGTAGGGGGGACCGCATCGGCCCCCGATCGCCGATAGGGGCCCGATGGCTCCAACCTGCACATGCAGGTGCGGGTTCGCCTATCGGGGGCCCATCGCCGATCTATCGGCGATGTATCGCCGATTCCAGGTCGATGCGTTCCCTCTCCCCCCCATGCCAGTCCCCCCCTATCGTTGGCCCTCAGCATTCTTTCCTCTGGGGGAGGGAGCAATAGCATAAACATAAAAGCTCGGAAGTCCGCGCGGACCTCCGAATGTTATATTTATGTCATTGCTCGTTCCCCTAATTCTTTCCTCGGCGAGTAACATCGGGGTGCATCTTGCGGAAAGGTGCACGCGCGGAACCGAATTGCCTTGCGGCGTACCCAATATTGTTCTACACGTGGGGACGATAAACAAGACCGACAAATAAGTACAAACGAACATCCTGAAGGACCCGCAGAAGCCCACGAAAGTGGCGACAGGTGCGCACTTGACAACCCCCCAGGGAGCTGCAAGGTCTCGGCTGGGTATGTTTGCAGCTCCGCTCCACTGGGCCTCCCAGGAGCCTTCGAGAATGGCGACAGTTGCGCATTTGGCAGCCCCCCAGGAAGCCGCGAGGTCTCGGCTGGGTGTGTTTACATCTCCACTCCGCTGGGCCTCCCAGGAGCCCACGAAAGTGGCGACAGTTGCACAGTTCGCAGCCCCACAGGGGAGCCAGGAGGTCTCGGCTGGGTGGCCTCCCAGGAGCCCTCGAGGATGGCGGCAGTTGCGCATTTCGCAGCCACACAGGGAGCCGCGAGGTCTCGCTTGGGTGTATTTACAACTCCACTACCGTAGTGACTACGTTGGGCCTCCCAGGAGCCCACGAAAGTGGCGACAATTGCACAGTTCGCAGCCCCTCAGGGAGCCGCGAGGTCTCGGCTGGGCGTGTTTACAATTCTGCTCCGTTGGGCTTCCCAGAAGCCCACAAAAGTGGCGACAGTTGCGCCCCACAGGGGAGCCGCGAGGTCTCGGCTGGGTGTGTTTCGAACTCATCTCCGCTGGGCCTCCGAGGAGCCCACGAAAGTGGCGACCGTTACGCAATTCGCAGTTCCCCAGGGAGCCGCGAGGTCTCGGCTGGGTGTGTTTACAATTCTGCTCCGTTGGTGGCGACGGTGGCGCACTTCGCAGCCCCAGAGGGAGCCGCGAGGTCTCGGATGGTTGTTTACAACTCCACTTCCACTCCGTTGGGTTTCCCAAGAGCCCACACAGGTGGCGACAGTGGCGCACTTCGCAGCCACCCAGGGGAGCCGCGAGGTCTCGGTTGAGTGTGTTTAGAATTCCACTCCGCTGGGCCTCCCAGGAGCCCACGAAGGTGGCGAGAGTTGCGCAGTTCGCGGCCGCCCAGGGGAGCCGCGAGGCCTCCTCCCAGAAGCACACGAGAGGAGCAAAGCCAAAACGAGGTTGCCACGCAAGCAGGACGAAGGAAAGAAGGAAGAGGGGGCGGGAAGCAGGAGGCAGGAGGGGGGGGGAGGCAGAAGGAGGAGTGGAGACCAGTGCTTTCTTCAAAAGGAGAGCCCCATACGGGAGGGTTGGGAAAAATACACGGGGAGTGGCCGTTCGAGCGATGGCGAGGCCGGCCGGGGGGCGCCCATCCCCTCCGAGCAGGGTCCATACCGATCCGATCGAACCGATTCGATAGATCGGTGTCGGCCGGGCCGATCCAACCCGATTCCGAGATGCCCATGCAGCCCGATGCTTCCGCGGCGCTGTTGTGCACCCTGGCGCAACCGATTCGATTTGATTGTAGTGGCCTCCGGCCAGTGCCGCCGATCCGGGGCGCTCCTGATGCTGTTGTTGTTGAAATGGACGATGACGACGACAACGGACGGCCAACGGTCGACGAGCGGGATAATTACGACGACGACCCACGAAGGAGTTAATGACGACGAACCGACGACGACGACGACGACGACGACGACGACGACGACGACGACGACGACGACGACGACGACGACGACGACTGACGGCGAACGGCTGCCGACGGCCGACGACCGACGACTGGTGACGGCGACGGGTGGAAGGTTCTTCGTTCATCGCTTTCGCTTCCGAGCAATGGCAAGTCAGGCCGTGCACCTCTGGCCTGGCAGCACGCGAGTGAGCGCCTCTTGGGGCCACTTGGTTCTTGGGGCTTCTTGGGGGCCTTTGGGGCTTCTTGGGGGCCTCTCGGGGTCCTCTTCGGGGCCTCTTGGGGACCTCTTGGGGGCCTCTGGGGGCCCCTTGGGGGCGCCTCGGGGGCATCTTGGGGGCTCTTGGGGTCATCTTGGGGTGGAGGACTAGAAGGGTCCGTGCGGGTTCACCCTCTTGAGGCCATCTTGGGGGCCTCTCGGGGTCGTCTTGGGGGGCCTCAAGGGCTATATTGGGTCCCTCTTGGACCGTCTTGGCTCCTCTCGGGGGCCTCTTGGGCTGTCTTGGGGCGATCTTGGGGGCCTCTTGGACCGTCTTCGCCGCTTCTAGGACGGAAAAGGCGATAATGTTAAAATGCTTCATAGCAACTTTATGGTTGTACCCTCTTGGGGCCCTCTTGGGCTCCTCTTGGGATCTCCTTGAGGCGTCTTGAAGGCCTCTTGGGCCGTCTTCAGGCCATCTTGGGCATCCAGGAGCGCTCTTGGGCCGTTTCGGGCGCCTCCTGGACCGTCTTGGTGGCCTCCTGGGCCCCTTTTGGCCCGTCTTTGGGCGGTTTGGGATTCCCGGGGGGGGGGGGGGGAAGAAAGCGTGGGCCCCAAGAAAGCGTGGGCCCGATGACCCCCCCTCCCTTCCCCCCCTACCCCGGCAGAGCCACCCCGGCCCCCCCCCCAGCAGAGCTGAAGCTCAGGTTGTAGCTTTCTTACGCGGCGCTGTTGTGCATCCTGGCGCAACTGATTCGATTTGATTTAGAGTCCGTGCCAGTGAGGCCAGATCCGACGTACATGTCGATTCCATCCGATTTCCCGATTCGATGTTGGCTGATCCTGCCTCGAGGGGCAACCCCAGATCTCCAACGTTCTCCTTTGATGTTTCGGCGTCCCACTGGAGCCCTGGAGTGTTCGGGAGTTCTCGTCGTTTCCTGAAGGCGCCTCGATTTCCAGCATCTGCGCCTCATCGAGGGCGTTCCAGGGTGCCAGAATCGTCCCAACCGGCCGCTGAAGGCCCGACTTATCTATGGTCTGTAAAACCAGATCTCCGGCTGTATGATTTGTTCCATCTGGGAATTGTCCATCGGTTTCGTCAGCTATCCGGCCCAGGGCCATCAAGAGTAGTTACGGGTTGTCAAGGAGTCGGCACGTGCTGTTTTTGTTATATGCATACAAACATATACACAAAACATCTTCATGATAATAATACTAATACTACGGCGACGACTACTACTACTACTACTACTACTACTACGACTACTACTACTACTACTACTGCTGCTACTACTACTACTACTACGACTACGACTACGACTACTACGACTACTACGACTACTACTACGACTACTACTACTACTACTACTACTATTACTACTACTACTACTACTACTACTACTACTACTACTACTACTACTACACTCAATACTACTACTACCACTACTACTACATATACTTACTACTACTACTACTATTACTACTACTACTTGCACGACTACTACTACTACTACTACGGCTACGATTACGACTACTACGACTACTACGACTATACTACTACTATTACTTACTACTATATACTACTACTACTACTACTACTATACTTTTACTACGACTACTTACGAATACGACTTACTACGAAATACTACGACTACCTGAGGAGATCGACCGACTACTACTACTACCGACTACTACTACTACTACGACCTACTAGTACTACTACTACTACTTACTACTACTACGACCACTACTACCACTACTACAACTACGACTACTTGTACTACCACTACTACCACTACTACTACTACTACTATTACTACTACTACTACTACTACGACTACTACTAGTACTAGTACTAGTACTACAACTACTACTACTACTACTACTACTACTATTACTACTACTACTACGACTACGACTACGACTACTACTACGACTACTACTACTACTACCACTACTACTACTACTACTACAACAACTACTACTACTACTCCTTCTACGACTACTACTACGTCTACTACGATTTCTGCGACTATTACGACTACTACGACTACTACGACTACTACGACTACTACGACTACTACGACTACTACGACGACGACTACTACTATTACTACTACTACTACTACGCCTACTACTACGACTACAATTACTACTACTACTACTACTACTACCACTACTACTACGACTACGACTCTTACTACTACTACTACTACTACTACTATTATTGTTACTTCTGCTATACTACTACAACAACTACTACTACTACTACTACCACTACTACTACGACTACGACGACGACTACTACTACTACTACTACTACTACTACTATTCCTACTACTACTACTACTACTACGACGACTACGACTACTACTACGACGACTACTACTACTACTACTATAACTACTACTATTACG